TGTGTTGATATGTATTTGGAATAATGCTAATATGCTCACCCCTCCTCAGTGTCGAGCAGTCTATCGCTGTGCACCTTGCGGTAGTGTAGTGCGTCGACGTGCGTGCGGTGCAGCGCCCTGAGCGTGGCCCGGCGCGGGTGCAGCGCGGCGGGCGCGGCGCGGAACACGCCGGTGACGCTCACTCGCTCGCCCGCCGCCACCGCCTCCACCAGCGCGCCGTGGGCCAGCACGCTCACGGTCGCCGGCGTGCGGCCCGCTGGCATGTCGTCTGGGGATATTTATTATAAGCAACTTGTAGTGTGTAGATTGTCTGTGTAACTGCTGCTGAAAGACCTATGTTGTATATGAGCATCTTTGGCAAGTAAGGAGAAGTGTTCTACTATTACAAATAATCAGTTTTTTTCTTTTTTTTAGAAAAACGTTGCCCAAATTAGGATTTTCTCCTGTATCGTGGGTGCGTTTACAAACATACAAATTCACTTACACATGACATCCAGACCCGGAACAACAATCTGTGGATCACACAAGAGTTGTTCCGTGCGGGAATCGAACCCTCGATACGTAGCGCGGCAGCTAGTTGTCCAGCCACCGCGCCAACCATACCAAGTCTAAAGTACCATCTAACATATTGTACCAAATAAAGCAATGGTCATTGTAGTTACCAGGCGACTCCTGCAGCTTGACAAGCTGTTTGTCACTGAAGTGCGACCTGTTATGTAGGAGCGTGTAGGAGTGCGCCGTGTTGCAGTGCGCGCAGTGCGCGGGTTCAGGCACCCTGCCTCGCTCCAGCTCGGCCGTGGCCGCCGCCCCGCAGACTGCGCAGCGGAAGTATGCCTCGCGCATCTCTGGGACTATACTCGACGTACGGATCACCATGCCTGATAGTGTCACCAGCTGGTCTATGTCTGTAAGAATATAGACGTTGGTTATATTTCTTGTATTACAAAAAAATAAAGAATTTGAACCTTTCGTTGATCATTTTTATGTAAAGATCTTAGAAGATAGTACTTCGAGTTTTATATTTGACTAGCTGTTGTCTGCGACTTCGTCCGCGTAGAATATGAATTTTTAGACATAATGTTTTTTTGTGTCAATATTCCAAAGTAAAAGTAGCCTATTTTACTCCTTAGTACATCAGCCAACTGCTAATAAAAGTTCCGTCAAAATCGGTCCTGCCATGCCATTTAACCAGTACAAACAGACAGACAGACAGAAAAAATTTTAAAAATATTATTTTGGTATGTATATCTTATGTATATTCCTAAGCATGTAGTAAAAAGCGGTTCATTTAATATTACAAACAGACGCTCCAATTTTAATTATTTATATAGACAGTGCAGTAAAAAGATACCCAGAAATAAGGCAACATTTCTGGCGATTACATGAAGAAATATGTAACATTACAAAGGAAAACGATTCTTGCCTCTCTATTGGAGCGTCTCTCCAATACTAAGTCCAACATAATTTTTTTACAGTCTAAAATACCGATAATCAATGTAGGAAATATAACTTACCTTCAGGGTTCAAGTCGCGCATGTGTCGCTGCGGCGCGTTGTAAGGTCGCACTTGTATCTGATGCTCCAGTACCGCGGCCGGGTAGCGCTCGAAGAACAACTCGTTCACCGCCGCGTCGAACGCTGGTACCACCTACACACCACCAGAACCGAGATATAACACATGATTGAGAACCTAACAAGTGTGGGCGAGCCATGTATCGGCACGAATGGGCCGGCTCCACCGGAGTGATACCACGGCCGAGCTGATAACCGACGTGAATCAACGCTTGTGTTGTGTTTCGTCGTGTTACTGAGGTTACCGGAGGTTAAATTACCCTCCCCCCTTCCTGCATCCCCAACAATCCTCCAATTCCTAATCCTTGTAACACCCCTTGAGTTCCGGGTGTCCATGGGTGACGCCGATTGCTTACCATCAGGTGATCCGTCTGTTCATTTATCCCATAAAAACCTAACGTATTACTTATACTGATACTTTGAAAATAGTTCAAAGTCGTAAACAAGATGTAAGTTCTTATAGTATTTGTGATACTTTGGTATTAGGTATGTGTCTATAAAACTACCGCGTAGGTACAAGTCTAGTACACCGCGTGAAGTACAGCGGCGCCAAAAGGGTTAACAAATTGCAGGAAGATGGCAGAACGCAAACTCCAATTTTATTGGACTTTAGTTTAAGACCTCAATAAAACTGAGGCTGCCTGATTGGCCGAGTCGTCGTAAGTGCGACTGCCGTTCAAGGGGTCTCGGGTTCGATTCTCGGGTCGGGCAAAGTATTATTGGGTTTTTTAAATATTCTCAGTAGTAGCACGGAGTCTGGAATTGTGCCCGGTATATGGCAATAGGCTCACCCCCTATTACATGGGACTCATAACATAAATAGTGAAAGTGGGTGTTACATTGTGCATACATTGGTATAATGTGTACCTCTGCCTACCCTTTCGGGGATAAAAGGCGTGATGTTATGTTACCTTAATAAAACTAATTAAATATCTCACCTCTTGCGGGTAGCACACAAGTTGCCGATGCAGTTTTGCGTCAAACGCTTTGATATGTTCACAGTCAACATCTAGGAAAGGCTCCTCCAAAGTGTTGATTTCTTCCAGTTTTTGTTCATATAGTGGTTCGTTGGTGATGGCGGTGGGTTCGACGAATCTTTGTATGAATTTGATGAACTTGTCTCGGCACTCGGCAATGGCTACGTCTGTGCCCCATACTACCAGTTGCGGTTCACTTGATGGGACCTCTGCTCCAGTGTCATCAATCTGGGGAAAATGCCATTGTTATAAGTTAGAAGACGTCTAAGTATTGCCGAATAGGCCCAGCAAGGTTTGTGGAGTCCAGTAAGCCTAGTAAAAATTTAAGAAATGGTTGCACCTGCCTACTAGCGACAAGGAATGGTAGCCGTGAGATGTCAACGCATGCAGTTATTTCATCTAGAAAAAATGACTCTAGATACATTTTTAGATATAATGGAAAGTTAAACAGCCTTTTTCACGAACTCGCAAGTAAAGACTCTGTAGAACCAAAATTGTGACACACAGAACGAAATAAAAAGACAACCAAACTGACAAGTTTCATTAGAAAACCCCAAAAAAAGACATGAAAAAACCAAAAAAATATGATAAATAAAAAATAAAATAAAAATTGATAAAAAGATGCGCGACTCGAAATGTGACTTGTTGATGATAAAGCCGCGTGTATCTAACCATACATCAAAATGTGAGTTCAAGTCTGCAACAAGTTTAGAAGTGAAAGCATCATCTATAATAAGCAGTTGTAGGATCTGCCTGTCTTCGTTGCTAGACCCCGCGGTCTTAACGTGCGGTCACAGGTTCTGCGAGAAGTGCCTCAATCAGTACTGGCGTATACGGGACAAGCCGGACTACATCGTCTGTCCGCTGTGCCGTGCCTGCGCCTTTAATGTTGATTTTGCTAAGGTATGGAATGAGTAGGAATGTTTGGTTCCCCAATTAGTAGCAATCTAGCTTAAACTGTCAAACACCAAGCGGTCACCGGTGACCACAACCTATTGTTCTATAATTGTGTCTATAATGACGGTGCGGTGCTCGACGAGTTAAGCTAGTATGATAATCAATGCTTGTTCCTTTTCTGTCATACATAGCCTTTGACCAGAAATAGGAGTGTACCAGCTGATTTACGTCCTATTTAGTAGCACCCTGAGTATCATGAGTTGGCACTCATAATTTAAGCAATAACATAATTAATACAGAGAAATAAAATCATTGGTAGAATCTGCGAATTCAGCTTTGAAAGAGTGTAATTTAATTCATTTAATTCATATTCATTCATAATATATGTCTATAAAGGAGCTACATAATGCTAGACTGCATATTAAGTACAGACATTTAAAACATTTTTTCTCCACCAGAGAGAAGAAAGAGCATCAACAGAGGACTTCAGAAAAATGTTCACGGAGATGTCAAACATCAGTGATTATAATGTGAACAATGCTGTAATACTATGTCTCAAGCTAAGTGTGCTGATGCCTGCAATCTATTGGCTGGTGAAGTGGCTCAAACTGCCTCTAATAGATCTCTTCACCAACATACATCACAAATTGATAAGTAGACTGTGAATATGTTTGTACTGTTCATAATTTATATGCTGAATAAGGTATATGTACAAACTTTACTATTTCATGTTCTATAAAGATGTTAAAGTGTATGTACTTGTTAGTGCTATACTGAAACTGATACATACACACTTTTTGAAACTAGAAATTTTAATTTTCTCTTCCTTAGATACAGATTGAAGTTTTGAGTATATTCAACTGAGCAATTTCAAGTAGTAGAGGTTTGGTGACCAGTATGCAATACAGCTATCTGAACTGATAATTGTATTTGAGGAATTCGATATTCTTATGGGATAACCCGGTAAACGAGCACACGGATCACCTGATGGTAAGTAATCGGCGTCGCTCATGGACACCTGGAACACCAGAGGCGTTACAAGTGCGTTAGATACCGGCGACTAGTAATTTGAGAAATGTTGGGTATTCAGAGATTGGGGAAGGGGTTTAGTTAGGCCTCCAATAACCTCACTCAAACGACGAAACAACGCAAGCGTTGCTTCACATCGGTTTTGGTGTGAGGCCGTGGTATCACTCTAGTCGAGCCGGCCCATTCGTGCCGAAGCATGGCTCTTCTACACTTAAAATGGTAATGGTAAAATGGGGTGAATAGATACAGAAGAGGGATGAACAACTATTGGGAAAATATTCTAACATCTATTTACCCCATTGCTGTCTCTATTCAACCTTTGAATTCTATTCACTTCATTTAACAGTCAATAATATGATGAGATTAATATGTTCATAATTTTGGCACTACATTCTAGAACAGAGTTTTAATTTAATAGCTGGTTTGACTTGACAACTAAATTATACTAGTTTACCCTAATACCAGTAGTCATAATTAGTTAAAAGTAACTGTTACCCGTGACTTCATCTGCATAGAATATGAATGATAGAACATAACTTTGTTTTGTTTATTATTCCAAAATAAAATTTGCCTATGTTACTTCCTAATAAATCAGTTATCTGCTAACAAAAGTCTTGCAAAATCGGTCCAACCATTCTAGAGATTAGTACTAACAAACAGACAGACAAAAATCACAAAATATATTATTTCGGTATGTGTATTGTATGTATATTTATGGGCATGTAGTAAAAGGTGGTTATTTTAAACTGTCAAACACCAAGCGGTCACCGGTGACCGCAACCTATTGTTCTATAATTGTGTCTATAATGACGGTACTCGACGAGTTAATATTATAAACAGACACTCCAATTTTATTTATTTGTATAGATTTGTATCTACTAACCCTCCTAGTCGGTGTAGGAGCTGGCACACTTCTACCATGTTGTCCACTCTTCAGATCAGCTCTTTGTCGGGCAGGAGTCATAACTCCTCGCAAGTTGGAGCGAGGAGTGCTCAGAGAGCTTGGTGTACCGTAGTTAAGTGGAGAACTCATATCTATGTCTGTGCCTGGAAAATGAGATATTATCAAACTTAAGACTTTTTTAACTTATTTTATGAGTAATATTTTCACTGAATGTTAAGGCAAATACGATTTTCAAGAAGATTTATAAATTATTGTCTATAATTATATATTTGTCTATAAAACTAAGTTTTACTCGAAGACTAAAGAACCTTTTAGAATAATATATGTTGAAAAATCTTGGTGGTTGAAGAAGCAGAGGAGAAGCTTACTGGAAATAAATCACAACAGACCTATTTTTAGATAAGATTCTAATTTTAAAAAAATATTAAGTACATAGAAGTTAGTGCTTACCGAGTGGACTGGAGGCCATGGTACGAGCTGGTGATGTGCCTGGTGCCTGGCCGCCAGGAGTGCGTGGTGATCTTCTAGGTGTACCAGGAATTTGAGGAGTTCCTCGGGGAGTGCCAGGTGTGCCATCTGGAAATGAAAATTACTTTTATTCTATTTTTATATAATTTATAGTCGCTCAAGTGATACGGAAGTTTGGATTTTGGAAAATGAAAGTAAACATAGAGTACATAAAGTATTGAATCTGAAATTACCATCATCATGGAATAAAATGAAATTACCATACAATATAGTAATTTTAAGTAGTAAATTAAGACTGGAACATCAATTATTCAATAGTTATATCTAGGCGTATAATAATAAAGCGTACTTTTAGAAGGGGTACCGGTAGAACGCTGTGGAGTTTCAGGTACAACAAGTTGTTGCGACGATCGTGTTCTTCGCGATGGTGTTGAAGCATCTGACGATGCTTGCGAAGAGGGTCGTTTAGATGGAGTCGACATTTTCGTCTTTGTACACTTTTCACTGAACTAAAAGAAGATTTTCAGTTATTTTGTTAACACTAAACAATGACGGCGTTCGCACAATACTTCACAATAGGTTACTTTCCATTTGGCGCGAAAATGTGACACTATCTGTCAAATATCCGCACTGGTCGCAACGGTTAATACTCTTTAGTAATATTACTAAACCAATAAAAATATATAATTTAGAGGAACCATTTTTATTGTCTCAGTCACGTCCCAGTGCATTATTTTATTTTTGTTAAAACTCATTTACGAAACCAATATAAATTGGACCAATTAACTCTTTCCAAGTAGTTTATCACATTTAGGAATAAATTATAATCGACTATGACAATGTCTATGAACTAGGGACATCTCTATTGTTGTCAACTTTCCATAAACAAGTGAGATATCTTTTTTAAATCAATTGATCGTTCATTCACCGCTGATGTTTTTACGGTGTTATTTTATGATAATAAATAAATATAAACGATAATTGCGAAATAAAAGCGATTGTAATGCTCAGCAGTATTTAAAACTAGTGCAATAAAATTATCAGAATCAATGTTCTATGCTAAAATATTGATTAGCGTTGTAAAAGCTATCTTTGTGCAATCTACCTGCATTGTAGAAAATATTTTCGTGAATAATTATCTTTGACGGGACAAATAAGTTTTAAATGGACAATGTTTAGCGTATACGCCTTAGTGCGTAGTATGCATGTTTACTAGTGATTCAGCAGTTCTCCCCCAAGGGCCGAAGATATTTTGGTAAGTATCGGTAGGTACCGCGATGAATCATTTTATCTCTCTGTGCATTTTCATTGTAAGGTTCTGGGATATGCTGCTGACGATTAATATTTAATTAGATTGGGACTCCGTGCCGGGTAGACAATTATACAATAAATACATATTGTATGAACAAATGAAAATGGTAATTGATGCCTTCCATTTTTTTTATTTCATAATAAATACTATAATAGGGTAAGAATAAAGTTAAAGAGATATTCTACCTTACCAACGCTGCAAAGGAAAACGGACAAGCTAAGGAGTTCTCTCTGGAAGCAGAGGTTAGTAGTAGAAAATGTAAAAATAAAAATTAATGTTATTGTTTATGAAAGTAAATTCAATCACATTGTTTTGACCTTACACTTTAGTGAACATTTAGGGTGTTATTCATTAAAAAGCTTTATTAATGTTGATAAGTAAAATTAAGGGTTACATAGAATCCATAGTAATGGCCTTTTCACTTTCCCTCTTCAAAGTTCAAGGTAGACTTACATTATTGATCTTGAGTGACTTGGACTCTTGAGGCTTTTTTCTAAATAAAAAAAAGCTAGTCTCTGGTTAATGAACTATGCTAGTTCTTTTTTTATATTTCAAATGCTATTCTTATTTTTAATTCTTGTTTACTTTGATTCCTATTGGTTTTTAATAAGTAAAAAAAGCAACAATGAAATGAATTCCCCATTTTTAAAATATGTATACTGGTTTTTCTTTTATGTAAAATTACCCCTTGGTTGAAAAATAAGTAACATTTTATAATTCATACATGTCATGTTTGCATGTTGTGCCATTGAGGTGAGAGGTCAATGACCTGAGTTGCAGTCAATGGACAAAATTTTTAATAACTGACAACATGATGAGATTTTATATTCATAACTTTAGAATATTATTAATCTCCATCTTGTAAGTGTAGTATGATATGCAGTTTTCATATTTTTTATTTACAATTTTGTTTGAGAGATAGTTAAGTAGATAAAATATATCCATAGTCAAGCTCATATAAGATAGAAGTGTAGATCATTATGCCTAAGTCTGGTAATATGATTATTCATAGCATAAAGTTTAATTACACTTGACAATTAAACTTACTTCATAATTTGTTGACTTTGAGAGTTATTCATAAAAAATAATGTACCTAGGTAGGTAAGTGTACATCACTTTTAACACACAATAACACAATAAAGAATTTAAGATTCATGTATGCTGTGACCATAAATTGGTTTACAAGTGAATCAATGACCTCACTGGGTCAATGCAAGGTCTTGGAGACTATTGCACTAAGTACTGTGTGACTCAACTAATATTCTTATATTATTGTTATGAAATCTTCTCAGAGCTTTAGTTGTTGTTAGACATAGATTGTTGCTATTCCAGGAGGACTTATTAAGTTCCATTTACCTTCTCAAATTAAGAAAAGATTCAAGTGGGTAGGTAATTAGTTTTCTTATTAGAAGCAAGTGCCTAACTAATCCTATTGATACTTTTATATTCTATTTTGTTTACTCATTTTTTTACTATAATTTGCTTACAAAATGCGAATGTACGATATTATGAAAAGAAAGTATCGTAATTCCAATCATAAAATATTTTCAAAACCTTGCCCCCAAACCCAAACATTTGAACGAAAAAGGGAGCTTCTACCAAGTGCTGATTAAGGAAAACTATTGATTTCTGTAGCCGTGTAAGGGGGCATATTTCTCGTAATCTCAAGGAAGGTAATCCTGCCTACCCTTCGGAAAGCGAGATCGCATGCGCCAAGCGCTGTTCACCCCTCGAGCGGGCTGACGGGCTCCGCAATTATATGTACATAAACATAACTGTACCCCGCGTACTACGCACTACGCACCTACGCACATACATAGGTATCTATATATCTCCAATACTTGGGTACATCGTACGGACGCACGTCGTTGTTTGTTTACGTTGTCGACGTAAGAATACGTTTGGTTGTTAGCTCTGGTTTCCGCAGTTTTAGAGTCGAAAGTATTTGGAACATAGGTTTGCACATCAGTTGCTTCTCGTCCCACGCTTCTCGAAAAATCTATAAGCGGAAGGGCTCCTAAGATACGCAGTGTCGCTCGTCTCCCCTCTAATTGTATCTATGCGAGTTGATTTTACTTTGCATTATTTATGAATCAACTGGCATATCTGGGCTTTAATTCAGTTTGGAAGCTAATAAAAGCCTTGGGTTGGTCAGAAACATTTGTACGAGTTTGTTTTACGTTTAAACTACGCACGAAGCGCTTCCAACCCAGCTTCCTTGTGCGTGCTACTAAATTCTTTGCCAAAGTCTGTATTTCCTGAAGGGTATAACCTGGGTGTCTTCAAGGCCCGAGTGAATAGGGTGCTTATGGGATGACGTGCTCCATTGTAGACAGCATTATCGCTTACCACCAGAAGAGATAGAGGTCAAACGCCCATCAATATCAAATAATATAATAAAATAAATTTGAAATGAGACCCCGTACGGCGCTCTGATTGGCCGGCTTCAATGAACCAACCAATCACAGCGCCGAAGGCGGTCTCGTTCCTATTACTTAACCTCTCGCGCGCTTCTCGTACACATGGGTAAATATTTTAATAGAAAAGCGAATTAACTATTCTGATCAATCAAATAAAGAACGGGTTGCAAACTTGAAAATATACGTCACGGAAAAAATATCCATTCGGTGCGCGTTTCTCGTACCCCCGTGTGTACAATTGCGCGATGGGCACTCAACTCTCTCGTTTACCCGTGTGTACGAGAAACACGCGAGAGGTTAAATCATACAACATAGTCGTACTAAGCTCTTTATTATGGAGATTGTATTGAAGATAGTGTTGGTCCAGTCACCGTATTAATTGGTCTTCCGAAAAAACCAGTAAAGAAAGGTTCCTATACATAACTCTTACAACGCCAGAGACCATTCCAGAACTATACCCCAATATTGTATAGTGTATGACTTAAAATCAATACAACAAGGGCGCAGTATTTAGTAACGTTTCTGGCAATACATGATGCATCACTAATGGCACTGTTGACCCTTCTAATTAAGTAGAATGCGTGTACGTAAACTATTTCCATGCACTCGCATGGAAATAGTTTACGTACCGTCCATATACTTCCATACTTACAAAATGGACAAACACGAAACCTTAGCCGCGATCGAGAAACCATAGTTTAACGTACACTCTGTCTTTCGACGTAGTTCACTGAAAAACAATGTTAAACTTTAAAAGGGGATTGTTTTGTGTGAATACTTTTGTTTTTCAACTGAAGAATATAGTTGCTTAACCCTGTTTTCAAGAAGTCATGTAACGCTGTTATGTAGCTATAATCATTCTTATACAACCAAACATTCTTATTAATACTATACAAGGCGTGAAATTTTCAAAAAATCCACATTACATATACGAGCACTCGAAAGAAGTGTACCTTGAAAGACTCGAATCGTGCAATAAAATGCCACGTTGTGGTATTTTCTCCTTAGATGAGGCTCAACTCGAAGATGAACCACCAAGAGAGATAAGCAAAATATTTAAGGATGAAATATATACATAACTTAATATTGCTGACCTCAACCTTGTTGGAGAAAAGCAACGAGATAGATCCAAGGATCAATAATTGTATTAGCTGCTTCAACCTCCCGCATAACTACATCACAACATGTGGTTAGAAGTTCAAGAAAGCTCTACGCACGTCACGTATTTATTTGTTTGATAAACATGTAGAAACTGATGATATCAGACGCTAGCATACACGATTAAAATACGTAATTTCATAATAAGCCGAGTCACGGTTTGATTGTATTATTGCATCAGATTTATTGCAGAAATTAATACCGGTCTGAATGTAAAATCTCTGAATCGATACTAATGTCAAAAATCGATCTTAACTCGTCGAGTACCGGTTTTGTAGACACAATTATAGAACAATAGGTTGCGGTCACCGGTGACCGCTTGGTGTTTGACAGTTTAAACCTACAATTTGGTTTCTGGAACCAAGTTTCTTCAAGAAACTGTCTAAATCTAGTCTACAATTTAGAATTAAGCAAATAGATAATTATAAGTAAATAAGTGAGAGAATTAAGCTAATAGATAATTTTAACCTTCAAGTACTGACGTGGTTTACTCATACCATAAACAGTGACGTGACGTATGTCAAACACCTTAATAATTAATCGAAATGGATTACTTGTATTTACTGATTTGCACAATATTTACTTGTATTCTGATCGGTCCATTATAATTCTATTAAGGAAGTGCAAAAAATACAACGTTCTCGGATGAAATCAGCGGTTTCTGATTCAAATTCTATAAACTTAAAATATAAATATTTCGCATAACTTAAAAAAATATATGTTAAATCTTAGCTATAATACAATTATTTGGACGTTTTTTTGGAAAATTCTTATATTCGTGAACACGCCGTCTATGAGACACCCACGTCAGTAGTTAAAGGTTAATTATCTAAATAATGAGTAATTTGAAATGAATTGTTGGATCATAATTTGGAAATTCTTATTACATTGGATAATTTTAGAAATGTAGAATAATCATGTATTATAATGAACATAATAGTAGTTAGTCTAGCTCTCAAGAAGATGGAATCGTTTCGGTCCAAAGTTACTAAGCTGAAATCCTATGTAATACGTTTATTCAGCTAAACTTCTAGACGTAGAGGACATAAATATAACTGGTTTGCTGGTCTCAATAGAACTAATTCTATAACAGAATAATTTGGCTATAATTTTACCACTTATAGCCAAATTACAGTTATACACAAATCAATGTAGAGAAACAATATTCTTCTCTTGAAGATTTCGTTTTGATAGTATTAGTACAAGCGAATTCGACGGTATGATTGGATTGGCTGTTCATGTTTTACGACACTCCTTGGGCGTGTTATGACGTTCTAGAAGTTGAACCACCCGCTCAGTTTATGTTTTCGCTTTTTCAAGTTCAACCTTTATGCTATTGAAAGGATTCTGCGTAAAACTCGGCATTGTCAAGGACTGTTTTGTGAAAATTTACAAAAAGAATTCGTAGAAAAAGTACGAAACTTTGAAGGTCAATGTAAGGTGATTTTAATTGGGTCGGAAGCCTACAAAAGAGTACGTAACACGGGTACTTGAATAATATTTTAAATGTCACAATTTTGCAAGTCGATTTCTGTGAAATTACCACCATAACATAAGTTTTAGTTCTTAGGCTAGATATATCAAAATTCTATCTTCAGTAATCAAGTCTGCCGGCTGATAGATTCTTGGGAGAGGTTGTAAGTGAATAGAAATCAAGTCTATGTATTTAACTTGCGACCTATCCGCTGACTTATATTAGTTTCTCTGCAGAAAGCGTGACGCAATGTAGTAACGAGTATCATATTTCGTTCAGTACAATCACCTGTCGGGTGATATGATTCATATGCTTTAAAATATACAGCGGCTGTGAAAAACACGTGGAACTGTAGTAAACATCTCCATCTTGAGACTAAGGAGCTATATGTCAATATAGTTTGTTGGTTGTTGATGGTAGAAACGTTTGTCGAACGTCCTCGTGGTATTTACTGTAGTAGAACTACAATAACTGCTTCATCGGCCGGGTTCGATCCCCGGGCCGGGCAAAGTATTACTGGGTTTCAAAAAAAATCTCAGTAGCAGCACGGAGTCTGGAAATGTGCCCGATATATGACACTAGGTTCACCCCCTATTACATGGGACTTCATAACATAAATATTGAAGAGTGGGTGTTACATTGTACTGTGGCATCAAGTTCCATAATGTGCAGCTCTGCCTACTCCATCGGGGATAAAAAGGCGTGATGTTATGTTATGTGAACTACAATAACTAATGTTCTTTTTATCGTAATATTCTCTGGTCCTCATTTGCCGGTTTCTGTGCACCACTGGTCGCTTACTCATGCCATGACACCATCCATGTGTGGACTGGACCGAAGCAATCTTGCTTTGGAATGCTCAATGTTTTTGTTTCAAAAATATAAATATAATTTCACACTCAAAGTTAATCTTTTCGTCTTACAATTAACTCTAAATCATTTGGCCTAGGTACATACGAGTAATTTAGGAGAGAATTTCCATGAAATCCACAATTTTCTCAGGTGTTTTCAGTTTGCGAACTATTATGCCTTTTCATAACATTAACTGGAAAGTCTTGGAAAAAGTTAAAATTGAATGAAATGTAACTATCTACGGAACAAAATTAAATTAACTATATTTAGCAAGTTAGTCATAATTACCACGTGGTTACTAGGTGTTGGGTATCGACGGTGTAGCCCGAACTACACAAACGTATTGTTTCACTTTAATCCCACAAAAAAACGACGCCTCTGGTAATTTTCCTACAAATGTACAAAGAATGTTAACTACTTACCCTTAGAATATTATATTGTATTCTGTTATAGTGTATTGTATAGGTCTTTAGACCTGTGTATGGGTAAATAAAGGTATATTGTTCGCTGCCTATTTACGATTACAAAGAATTTCTTACCTGTAATTTCTTTAGTATCGTAACTATCTATCAAAACTTTTTGTACTTCATCTGTCTACGTTCATTTCGCAGGTACATTTTCATTGTTTGGTACTGTTATCCTTATCATGTTTATTATGTTAGAAGTATTTTAGTTATGATTGTGTTATTTGATGAGTCTCTCTGATATGCCCACGTGAGCGACGCGTCACTTGAGTGACTGTTATCTTGTGCGTAAAATGGCGTCACCAATCCATAGTCTACGGATCATTCCGAATAGTCTCCTTCAATCGACTCTCACAATATGCGCAGCATTTTTGTTATTATGTTGTTAGAATTAGATAAACAAGTATTTAGTGTTTCTTAGTTAGCATTCGAACGGTAATTTGTTTCGTTATTCTAAATATTTTAAAGAGCTCGTGGTATTTACAATCTCTAATGTGCTTTTAATTACCTAAAAGCAAATATAATAAGAATGAGGTCTTTACTTTGTACCGGCATGTAATTAGTATAATGTATTTAACTTGTTAATTCCGAAGTTATCGGAGAATGTTTTTCAATGATAATAATGCGTCTATTCTTAATATTGGCCGTGTAAATACGACGCCTTTTCAGTATTTGAGGTACGAAATTGAAATCATCCCTTCTCATTAGATGATTATTGAAGAGCGACAATTCTTGACTACTTACAGATCCTACCTTTAGCACGATTTTGAATCAGAATAAAAAGCAGTTAATACCGATATTCAAAATCTGTTGAGCAACGATTTCAAGCTAAAATATACTGGGTAGGTTTCACAATTGGTAGCACTCTCTAAGGACTGTTTCTTTCGTGTTATTGCAGCACCATTATTCGTGGTTTCGCTCTTCGTAGAAAGTAGGGGCAGCTAGGGAAGACATCGATTTTCGGCACCCTACGCACTTGGTAAGTACAAAGTTCGGGGACCGCGGGGGCGTCAAGATGGCCGCGACAGGGCCTTCCCGGACCTGCCTCACGCGCACACCCAACACAAGGTCACGGTGCATGTGCTGCCACCGCTGCGCCTCCCAAAATACAAAATCTCGATAATAGGAAACACTTTCCGTCCCTTTCTTTTCTATTACTATTACGTATGTTCTCTGTCGCACATCCGCTTTCGTCCGTAGATTTGTTATTGTCGATAGTAATGTATTTACCGAATAGTTGATCAAAGTTAATTTTGAGTTGGAATCATGAAATGTATGAAATTAATTTTAATAAGCATAAACATACAATATTAATTATCAGTTCTTTAAGTGGGCATAGCGCACAAAATGAACTATAAACCCAATTAATAGTTACAACAAACAAAGATTTAAATTGAAATCGACTTGCGAAAATATATTTTTATTGCATACAAACGCCCTTCCCTTGCCAACCCTAATCATAGCAAACCTCCTTATCTAAATTATGGAAAATTTTGGAATGCGACACAAAGGCTCTCTATCGCACCCTCGCCTATCACTGTTGCTGTCTCACTCACTCTTTACCTACGATATCACAAGGGGTAGTGGTAGGGGCACACAAAAGATTTTGGGATGGTTTTTTTTCGCAAAGTGCACCACCACATGAAAGGGATCAGTCAGTGCAACCATCAGTTCATCGCAGGAGCATCGACAGGGTGCACCTCCGGCGCCCATCAAGTTATTCATAGTTTATATTAGTTGAGAGTGTCAGTCGTCTGCGATTGCGACTACAGTGAGCTCGTGCCCTTAGAGTTTATTTTTAAAATGTAAGTATATATTATTATTCGACTAAAACAATTAGGTGTTGAATATTTAATAATGTTATGTGTAAGATCAAGGCTCTCGTTTACTTACATGTTTATTCGACATTTTAATACTGTGTTATGAAATATAATTCCGGTCGGCATCAATTCCTAACTTCATAATTCTTAACTTCATTTAAATAAATACATAAAATTACTAATGTAAATAATAGGTATGTTTAAAAACATATCGTTTGTCTTTAAACGCATGTGGTATTTTTAATGTCCAAAAAAATTATGTTGTTAACGCATCCCAATTTCTGAAACGGTCATTATTATTTTACCTCCCAGTGTTTCACAAAAATAAAACCGTGTTTGTTTTGTTACAGCTCTGATGACGTAACTTGAAACGCCTAACAATGACGTCATTTGCAAATCTGACGCAGTCTCTAGCATCGAGTCTGCCATCGACTTCGGGTGCCAGCGGCTCTGGTCATAGCTCTAACGACCAGGAGGATTCGCTGGCCATGTCGCATATTATATGCAACCTCCTGGAAAATATGAATAATCCATCGAGCCTTCAAGGCGGAGCGTCGAGCTCAACATCTTCCACCTCGCAGTATGACATCTGGGCCCTGCCAGCACCCACCATGCAGAATCCCCTGGGACCTATAAGCCGTGAGTACAATTCCAATAACAACCATCATCAAGATAACTCGAGTGGCTCACCCGGAACCTCGTCCTCAGTGTCCATCAACTGCTACCGCTGCGACTCCCGCAGCCCAACAATTCGTTGTCTCGAGTGTAACGATTTGTACTGTCACGACTGTTGCCATAACAGTTCGTCTGAATGTCAAATTCGAGAACACACGCTACTTCCTATACACCAAATATCGCCTATCGGTGTCAGGCCTAACTCTGAAAACTATATATCTACTGTTAATATGAGCCACATAGAGAAAGATTACATGTTCTGCGATATACACGGTGATCTCGTTAGATTTTATTGTGAACCGTGCATTATCTATATATGTAACGAGTGCAAGTTGTGGGTGCATAAAAATCATAGTCATTTTCCCATTAAAGGTGCTCTGGACGTCAGTCGCGTCGGTCTTTTTCGGTGTATAGACAATACAAAGAGAGGTACAAAAGCAGTAAAAACTGCAATAGATCGCGCTGTGATTCTGTCTAAAGCATATGAGAAAGAAACAGCAGAGGCCAATATGAAAATAAGAAAAGCGATGCGTTGTTTTGCACAGGCTATCGAAGATAGGGAAAAATACTTGTTGGATAAAGTAGAGAAGATGCGTCAACTTAAAATGAATGAACTCTCAGATCACATGAATACACTGAGAGGTATTTTAGCTGGCTTATCTCACACGAATGAGACTTTAGTGCGAAGTATACACTTTGAAGGAGTAGATTTGTACTTGGCAAAAGAGAAAGGAAAACAACAAGTTGAGTATTTTGCTAACACATTCAAGAACATGTACGTGTCAGAAGATCGAATCATTTTTATCCCTCCGAATTACGACATTGTGGACTTGCTGAAGAGACAGTGTGATCTATATTCCACACCATCAACTTCGTTGCCCAGCCTGCCATCGACGTCGTCGTCATCGTCGTCTCACCAGATGATGCCTATGCAGCCTTCTCAGAGCATGCAGCAGGTCCATTATAATATGCCAGGACCTAGTAATATGAGATCGGTACAGGACTACGCAGGGCCATCACACTCGCGTTCGAACAATTATTATGAACAAAACGTTTCGTCGACCTTAGCAATTGAATCTAACCATACTCGTGGCACAGGTCAAGCGATATCTGGATTTTGGATGGCTGTGTCTGTAAGACCCACTAGAAGCCCCGTTCCTGGAGTTCCAATGCTCTCATTCGCTCGCGAAGGGCAGGACGAAGGACAAGTGTCCAGACCGTGGGGCCTATGTGTAGATAGAGAAGGAAATATCATTGTTGCTGACAGAAGGAACAATCGAATTCAGATATTCAGCTGTAGAGGTGAATTCAAAACAATGTTTGGATCTAAAGGCACTGGGCCGGGAGAGTTCGATCTTCCGGCTGGTATCACTACTGATAGTTTTGGACGCATTATCGTGATTGATAAAGACAATCATAGAGTTCAAATATTTACATCTTCTGGTAACTTTATTCTCAAGTTTGGTTCTTTCGGCAAGGAATGCGGACAATTTCAATATCCTTGGGATGTTGCTGTAAATTCACTGGGTAATATAGTTGTCACCGACACACGTAATCATCGTATTCAACTGTTTACTAGTGATGGAACTTACATAACCAAGTTCGTCTTTGAAGGTGCTAACCCGGCTAAAATGCTGAAAGGACCTACAACTCCTAGAGGTGTGTGTTTCACGACATCAGGCAATATTATAGTGTCGGACTTCGAGAATCATCGTCTGCTAATGGTGGACCCAACTCTATCTAAAGTGTTATATTGTGTGGGTCGTGAAGGTTCAGGAATCGGTGAACTCAATCGTCCATCGGGGATAGTGACTGACGATGACGGACGTATAATAGTCGCCGATTCTAAGAATCATCGTGTGTTAGTGTTTACGTCTGAACTTCGCATACTGTGGGCTGTGGACCTGAAGAGTCCCGGCCTCGACGACAAAGACCGGCCCAGCGACGTGGCGCTTACGCCAGAAGGCTTCCTCGTCGTACTGTTCGAGACGCTCCCCGACACCGCGCGCGACATTTCCTCTCACGGCAAGCAATACATCAAAGTATATTAAAATAATATTTTTATTATTGTACCTAATGTTAAGGCCAACTAAGTTCGTGGACCTAAGGTCATCCGTATATAATTTTATTTTTTTCGATTTATTTGTGATTTATTTGACAATGTGCCAATTTTATTATTAACGTTTGGAAAAATTCAATCGAGCATAGCTTGCGCGGAGAACTTTAGTTTGCCCATCAGCCTCTAGTCGACCGATGGACAGCGATGTGCGAGCTATGTTCTCCATGAGTCCTGATGTAGTTTTTGTTACCAGTTCTTTGTTTTTCGTTTCCACATTTGGCTAGTCTCTAAGGACCAAACAATGTTTGCAGTGTAACTTACAATGTAAAATAGACGCCGCAAGTATAAATATCATAACCTGTATAACTGTAGAGCAACACCAAACTCATAGTCGGTGCACTAAATATTTAAAGTCGATTACTATGTATTTTCCGGTCCGATCCCTGCGATGTATCGCTAAAATAATCGAATAGAGAAATCATAAAGATAAATATTATAGATAATCACAATGTGATGTAAAAGATGTTTTTTATGTGAGATAAATTAAAGGATAACTTGAAAAGTATTTTTCCACAATGTTAAATTTTGCGTTTTTTTAACTTGGTTAAATTGACTAATGCTGACGTTTGATACGTATTTTTATAATAAGTTATTTTTGCATAATGATTTAGGTGCATATAATTATGTTTATTATAGTCAGGCATGCGTCGGGATGGTGGCGACGCTCGGCTTCGATTATGTTCGTATTATTTACTTCTTATCGCTTTTTCTGTTTGTTTTTCGCGGCTTGATACGATGGAATGTGAAAATGTATGGATGAGCAAAAGAATCAATGCAATAAAACTTTAAGACTGACTTTAGAAGACTGTCTTAAAGAAGTTGAGTTGTTCCGCCACCGGGGGGCGGTCGGCAACAGGCGGCAGTCGCGACTTGCGGTGTCGCTCGATTTAAACCAAAATTTTAAGTATTATTGTAACATTCGGCAAATAAACGAATTCATCGTTTCAAATCTATGCTGAAGATCTTATTGTCGTATTCGCTTATGATACGTGATATTTTTTTATTTTCGTATGTAAAACGTGAAAATGTTTTTTTTTTTATATTTTATTTCGTATTTTTTATGTCGCAAACCTTTGACTGCCGGATTGATCGGGTTTATTAAACGTAATGTTAGTCATGAATTAGTATTGAGTGTGAATGAGGTGGCATTCCAATATTTATTTATTTCGATAAATAAATGTAATGCCGGTTGATGGTATGCATCAACTGTCGAGTACGGATGGGTCCGCGTACATGCGTCTTGAGAATCGGATTGCATTAGAGAGCATTAGACAGTGCGTGCCGCGTATCTTTCTCGAATAAGTTCCGCGCACTTTCAGGCTTCTAGCTAATTGGAAGATAATCTGATATCTAAATTAGTTATGATTTTAATTAATTATTATTCGCGTGGTCGTATACAATTTTCTATTAGTTCAAATATTATAGTAAAATTCTTTTGATTAATAAATGCTATCAAATTGATACGATATTTTTCAAAACATAATATGTTAGGTGACTTTGAGATACACCCCTATATGTGTTCAGTCGGTATGTGTTCACTTAATATAATGAATTGTTAGATAAATAATTTAAACCTAAGTTTAGTTGCATGCGAGATGGTTAAGTTGAGTAACGAGTGACGCATTAGATTGTGTGCATCGATTCTCCCGTCATGGTTTTCAATAATTTGACACCCTGCCATCAGTACTTTTATCTTATGTTCTTTTTCTAACGTCAAGTCTCAAGAGCATTGTCTGATCTAAGTTATCCTACAATTTATCGTTTGAAAAGAATTTACAGCTGTTTTTGATGAAATGTAGTTAGAGGAATTGTTCAGTTAAGAAGACAGATTGTATGAAAACCATGTATGTTATACGGGATTAAATCTTCTAATGTATAAGGTATTGCTCTAACGGAGAGCGGCGCGGGGGCGGACTGCGTGCTGCGTGCAGGCAACACTTGTAATTTGGTGCAATGTCTCGCGGCGAACAAGTTCCTTGTGGAGCTGCTCATTTTCCTGAGCTGGCTATGACATGGGCTGCGAGTACATTTTCATCAAATTATACTTTTCATTTACGTGTTTTTTGAAAAAAAAAACAGTTCCATGAATTACTTGCTTAATTACAAAAGTGTTACAGCTCGTTCGGCCCCCATGTCTTAGGGAATAAAATGTAGTAAATTGAAATAAAGTTAGCTTGAATCTATTGTAACGGCTTACGTGGACAAACTGCACTCGCGGTGGTCGTCGTTCGTTGTGTTAGTTTATTATTGTCTTAGTGAATCTGAGTGAACTAGTATCGGCAGTCGCTTTCGCTACAGGCAGTGCATACTTGTAGTCGTAATTTGTTGTAACGTCTGCGAGAAACAGTTTGTCCGGTGGCTCTCGTTATTGTTTCGCGGTAATGTTAGCTGGTGTGTATTGCGTAATCAACGCCACAACTTTCTCCAGGTAAACTAAACTAAAGCATAATAAATTACTAAGTAAGTTACTATACGGCTAGACATAAATTTTCACGTTTGTACTTAGGGTTAAATAGAAATAAGTCTTCTAAATATCCTAAAATTTGAAGCTTCAAACAAAAATTTTCTAGTAATGGCGTGGACAGTAGACATTAAATTAAGGTACTGATATAATTATAGATAACGTTGACTGGAATATGAGTCTGAAATTAATTACTTAAGATGGGAAAATTATTGTTTGAAGTGTAACTATGTGTCGGAAGACAATCAAGTAGGTTTGCATTAAGTATATGGAGTGTGTTTTATTTTCGGTGTAAGGACGCTCGCACAGGCACGACTTTCGCATTAGTAGCCGTCTTTCCGTTAATAGAATAAGTGATTAATATTACGAATATTCTTGTTACGCGACACGGTACGTGTGTCGTCATCGCCTTAAGTCATATTGTCCCACAGTACAAAAATGTAGTGAAAACCCTGTCCGATCTAAAGGGGATGTATTGTTATATTTTTTTATTGTAATCTTAAAGATGTGCATTAATATCGTAATTGTAAACATATAATGTCAAACAGAGTAGTCGTAAAGAAAGATGGCGTCTATTTTAGTATTCCGCTTATTATTAAATGGCCTAAACTCATGATACTTACATAGGTATTTGATTACCTAGTGCAATGTTTCAATCGGTAGGCACATTATTTCTAACGCTAATTATGTACCAAGTACATTCCTCGTAGATCGGTCAGGTTTTCTATTACACACTGTTTTTTACGAATACTTGAAAGCTCAGAAGCATTATAGAGTAAATTAATAGGTAATTCTGGTATAACCATAGCGTAACTTTTGTACTAGTTATAATCACATTTATTCCACTTAAAGTGAATTTATAGATATTCAGCATTTTGTAGTTTGAAGCCAAGCTTCTATTAGGCTAAATACAGACTTGTGTAACTCGTAACGTAACGTAACCGTGCAACAATGGGTGTTCACCAACCAGAACTGATACATTTATGTTCATAGGTCTGTAGCCGTAGAGTAGGTAACTCTGATCTTAATCAATATCTGATCACTGCCATCATTGAGTTAGTAGTGCAAACATTTTTGTTTATCACCCACGGTCACCGTTCGCCACTGATGATGTTACACGTTGCACAAGTGTGTACCCACTATAACTTACACGATAACTTATTGCCGTTAACGCATTTCAAGTGTACATAAATAGACTAAAGTTATTTTATTAATACAGGAATGTAAATAACATAGAGTGAATTGTTTACCTTAATGTAATCTAATAAGATAATCACGTACCTATATGCTAACATGAAGTTAGTTGAAATAGTCAAAGCGAAAGCCGTGCCGAGCCCCGCGTCATAATTAGGTAAATGTGCAGTGTCTCGCGTCTTCACGGTGTTGACGAATTCCGCATTATTAACAATTAATCATAAATATTTATCTTTTCCAGTAAATAAGTGATGGAATTTAACATTTACTTTTTGTTCAGTGCCATTATTGAAGTATTACGTTATTTTTAAAATAATGTGTTGCATGAAATGCATTTTTTTATCATTATTATACATTTCAAATAGTTTTCTTGGTTTCGGTCACAGTATGTTTTTTAGCTGACAACGAATCTCATAATTATAGTAAATACTGTTTCTATTGTCGTGCGGGAGTTAGATAACGGGTTTGCATAGCAACTCCCTTCTTGCGGATAATGTACTCGTAGAGTACTGTCGGGAAATACCTATCGTGAGTTAGGGGCCGTAAAGTGGTGTCTCAGAACTCTTGTCCGGGGCCGACGTCTGATGAAAGGTACGCTGATCTCAGGACTTAACCCATAACTACAAGTTACCTTTATTTAATGAAGCCGTACCATTTCGTCAGACAAGTCGAGAGTAATGAACAGCGAGACCCGAGGTCGTTATTGTACAACTGAGCTGAAAGCTGCTGAAGCATTACTTAATTTTATTATTGCACCTACTTTTGGTATAATTTGGTTATAATTAATTTTTAAAATTATTTTTTTATTTTAAACAGTTCTGTGGATTCCCGACATTTGTTTACTTGTTTTCTTATTAAAAACCTAAAGCGAGCTGATACGTTCAGTCATCATATGCCATGTCACAAAGTTAGCAGGATGCTATGGACTTGCAAGTAAACAGGCTTTACGGATGATCACAGAACCAAGTCATACCTATACTTTATCGTAAAGCGATGTGTATTTTGTGAGATCTGCTAGTTGCTAGCAGTATAATTGTGGTTTTGTGATAAATACAATAAAATTGACAACTAAATGATATTCGAACTTAATGATAATTTTATACAAGTTTTTGATCACGAGGATTGTAAAAGCATTCGAAACTTTTCAGTAGTTGAGACACGTCACAATGTTGTGTGAAGAGTGTGAGAGCGAACGTCACACTAAAACTGCATAATAATGATACAATTATGAGATTTTAGCGAATGTATTAAGCCATTTTCGTGCTATTTTTGTAACTTTATCTAGAAGCTTGTGTTGTGTTAGTCTTAGTGTAGGTAATTATATGTATACATTCATCTGCCCTTCCATGTCAAGTCCATGTCTCCCGTAGACAAGGTCACTTACAACATTATTGTTAATTCGTAGACAAGTCAGAAATATGTTTTAAAAAATTGTAACAGGCAGCTGTCGAACTGTCACGTTCAACTGTGACACGACTGTTCTATTGGTAGTTAGCACACATCCAGGTCGCGAGGTCTACTTGCAAGATCTTCGCGCAATCTGACGTTGGCAACTCGACCTGCCATATGTATCACAGAACTAGCAAGTAGGCTTCGCGCACTGGACTGGTCACATCTCCGTCAGCAAAGGGTTGATGAATGGCATTGTCAATATCAATGTGTAACAGTAAGTAGAATTTTTGTACACATGACTCGCGGAGCGCCAGAACCGGGTCACTCCGGCACTAGCGTTCCGCGAGCCATTTAGTGGTGTTCAAAAATCAACCATAAACTACCTCTTTTTTGTAAAGTTTTTAAGACTGACGGAAGGAGTAACCATGAATGGTGGAAATGGTGGTTTGATCACCGCTTTAGAAGCCTGTTGTCTACTATTTTATTTAATTTTTAGTTTTCCCTAGATCGTAACGTTAGAAGCGTCCATAACACTGTCACTTTAAGTTCGACCTGAGCAATGCATATTTACACCATATATTCATGTAGTGTAGTCCAGCTTACAAATTGAAATAGCGAGTGGACAACAGTCTTGTTCTCTAGTATAAGTGTCTCTGGCGGGAGTACCTGCGGACGTGGCCGTCAGCCGCGCCGGCCAACTCCTGCACTAGTGGTCGGGCGTGGGTGACGGATGGGACGGAGTGGTCCTCAGGTATTGCCGCTAGTTTATATATCTTACCTTAGCTTACGTAATTATTGTAATCATCTCTTAAATGTGTGTAATGAGACTGAATTTTTTAGATTGTTCCTATATTTTAATTTAAACTTTTTTATTGCGTACCGTATTTCATTTTATTTGATTTTACCTTTGGTAAATAAATATTCATTCATCATTACATTACATTTCAACCTTATAATCCTATCAATTTATGTATGACGCTATATAATGTCAAATTTTTGAAATTTTTTAAATGAATTTTGTATGAGAAATTAATCAAGTGATTGATAGAAAAAAAATGGACTTTTATTTATGAACCCTTACACTAAGCCCTGAGTTATTGATTCATAGTAAAAATGTAAATTCCATAAAGGGATAATACAGAAAACCTTAACACAAACACAATATTACAGATAATTCAACGCTTGTTGTACTCTGAAGGGGTAAGCACAAGTGTACTCACAACTTTTCGCCAGTTTGTTTGTGACACCTGAAAATGTATTGCCACACACTGGACACAATTCCAGACTTACCATATCTACCTACTAGGAATTTCGAAAATCAAAGTGTTGAGTGAAGGGCATTACAAAATTTATCTATAGTATGAAAATGAGGTGATACAGTTCCTGCTTTATTCTTTAGATGCAGAAATATAATACTTAGACTTCAAGATGTCCATCAGATGCGGGTCCATCCATCGACTATAATGCTGGTATCTTGACGATGTCATCGCTTGACAGACGACAAAGAATCAAGTTTAAGATGAAAGTGAATAATTTACTATAACCTTTAATTCCCTAAAGGAGAGTAGGTAATATACGCTATTCCAAAGTTATGTTTTCAGTCCCATGCACTAAGACCGTTTGATAGAAAATATAATTTCGAAATTGAATAAACAACGAAATCATTCAATACGAAACCAAATACTACCTGGTAGTACCTACTTGGAGTTTGAACCTTATATTAGACTGTAGGCAGGCACTCATTTCACAGTTACAAGTAATTATAAAACAATACATGAATTTGAATAAAACCTCTTTACTGATTGACGTACGAGTCAATTATTTGAAAAAATTAGAACTGTCAGTTCACGTAATGTTTAGTTTGAGGTTCAAACAATAACATTGTGTTATTGATAAAATAAATGTAAACTATAAGGAGAGTGAAATTCATTGATATAACTTAGTATAGTGAACGAGAATGGGACATCATATCAGTTCAATGTTCTCCAGTTTGGGAAGATTCTTCGAGTACCCAGTGAAGCGGAAACCTATTTGTTTCTATAGGCAGGAGGACTTTAGTGCAACAGGTAATAAACAACCAACTAAAATAGTAGATAGATACACATACAAAACATTAAAATTTCTTTAGTTAGTATTTAGATTATTTCGAAATCGAAGTACATACCTATTTTAACAATGCAATAGAAAAATTCGCCAAAAATTCGTAGTTGCCAGGGAATGAAAATTAAAAATCTAATTAGTTAGATAGATAATGAAAAAATATTAGACACGTATTTTTTTATTATCTCGTATAAAGTTAGAATACTTAGACAAAATGTAGTTAAGTTTTGGAGTGGGAGATCGTTACGTCACTAAGTGCTACAAATTGTAGCGTATTGTGACGTCACACGATATTTCAGATTATTATATCGTCGAAAGTATTTAATTTTGTGAGAAAAGATAAAATACGTGTCTAATGTTTTAAATTAATCTACCAGACGGACATTAAAAAAATGTAGGCAACTACCCTATTGAGTATTTCCAAATTCTGGATCAAATACCCGGCCAGCTACCTAAGTTATTAGTTTTATGAACCTTTTTACAAAACAGTCTTTTGGTAGTTATGAGTTTGCTGCGAAAGAAAGCAACTTTCCACAGCATTTGGATACTTCTCAACAGTTTCTTTGTCTTACATAGAATCTGTTGTAACTAGGTGAAGCACATAGGAAGGTGGCAGATATGCAGCGGCAGGCTGCGACAGACTACGACAAATTGGTTGATTTGTTCTACACGAGACTGGCCGAGCAACGACAGTATAATCAAGTAGGTTACGTTATTTTCATGTAATCTACGAGAACGTATCTGTAGCAAGATATTTTTTTAGGGGGAAAATCATCGAATCACTTCTCCCGCCTTAGTGTCAGACTCTTACTGACTGAAAACCACCCCGTTCCTACTCCTCCGCTTCGAGCCGGAGCCCCGGCAACCCGTTAAGTCCTCCGCGGCTCCGACCCGTAGCAAGATATAATATAGGTAGTCTAAATTGCTTACATGAACAGCAACAAACCTAATTCTAAGTGCCTAGACAAGTATCCCTATCAGTAGGTACATTCAATAGCGACATATAAATTGAGATAAAAATGTTTACATTTTGCACTCTACTCACGCTAGACTATACATAGCAAAGCATCTACATTTCATAGGGAAGTTGTAACTCGGATGATATTTTTGAGTTTTAGAGCAAGTATTACCTATGACGCTGGTCCCCTAGGAAATGAAGGAGAAGGACCGTAGATGGAGTATGCAGAAGGTAGTGGAGCGGTTCCCAGGGTGGAACGAGGTCACCATAGCCAACCTGCACAGCTTGTTCCTGCTCTTCGACAACCAGTCCAATGGCATGCTTGGGTTTGATGACTTGTTAGTTCTCTTTCCATTTATCTCTCTCTAGTACATTTTGTCTGCTAGCTAAGATTGAATTAAGATCGCAGCAGGTTCGACGAAATAGTTGTATTTTACACATAGGCTTTATATATGACGTATTTGCCAGTTACCAGGTAAGTCGATATTTAAATAGGTAGTACATAACCTTGGAATAGAAATGCCGAGGAAAATCTAGGAAAATATGAGCGTATCTAAGGTTATTTTATACGACGACGAACAAATCAACAATATACATCGCTTAGAAACCTTTATTATTATAAAACAAAGTCCTTGCGTCTGTCTGTTTATCATAAACTCAAAAAGTACTAAATACAATATCTTTTCAAGATAATTAAGTACCGCGTGTGAAGTTTTACATTGTACATTTAGCGGAGCAGTATTGGAGAGTCTTGGAGATGAGAGCGGCATGGACGTGCGGAAAGAGAAGTTCAATGCCGCAGACACAGACAATGACGGCTGGATCACTTACGATGAGTTTCTATCAGTAAGGGAACTTATATTCATTTAATTAAATAGTGTAATATCTTCAATTAAGTTATATTTACTTACGATAGTGTCCGCGTGAAAAGTCTGTACTAGTTCATAAACTTGAACAGAACCAAAATAAATTAGTTTATTTATGGCATTCATGTAGTTTACATACATTTTGCAGAAATAACATTCGCTACGATTCGTCGTAGCATTCGTAGAGGACGCTACGCAAGTACTACGAATACACTACGTTGGCGTAGTAGCATAGCATACAGTTACAGTAGCATCTTGCGTAACTTGTTAGTGTTGAAATCTTATCAATCATAGTAAACTTGTCATATACCTAACTTATCTTTATATTAAAAATAGCTAAACAACAATAATTTGTCAAACTAGTTTTCAAAACCAATTTACTTACGTAAGAAAGTAGAGATATTTTTTGGATCTTAATTTTTTTTTCGATCATTAGGGTTTTATTTCTTATAGAGAACTATTGTTCACTAAATACTACAGAGAGGACGCTTTTAAAATATCTATTAACAATCATGTAACTTTGAGGTCAGTGTAATAGTTTTATCTGGTAACTAGTCAAAAGTGATTAGTAATCATCGTACTTTCTAGAAATATCCTAAAATGGCGTCCCTACATCAGTCAACACAACAAAAATCAATGTATACAGACGCCAACACATAACCTACCCCAATCTAATTTTATACTTTATTGATTTGGAATAAAGTTGAGATTCTATTACCAAAACAAATTGACAAAATGGAGGAGCTTGTCGCGCCGGGCGCCATCTTTTAAGTTAACCTTTCTTTTTTCAAATTGGATTTTGACTATGATGTTTTATTAATAGCAATTTAGATTTAAATGTTATGTTTTTGTGATTAGTTGGTGTATAATTTCAATCCTGGCGAGGAGGGCCGTGTCACAGGGCTGGCCGCTATGTGCAACGATGTCGCAGAGAACATACAGTTTGTCAGCAATCTCACCGTTGGCGAGCAACTCGAATACGGCTTGTTTTAAATGATTACTTGTTAAATAATTATAGTTAGTCGTTAATGCATATTTTGTTTTTTAATGTAGCTAAAGCATTTATTTTCTATAGGGCATCGATATTCTCTATGAAATTTTCCGTTCCAATACCGTAACAAAATCCATTTCCTAGAACGAAATGCAAGATGTTATTTGTCAATAAAAATGTCCGCGTATGCCCATCTACATAAATCAAACAAATTCGTGAATTTATTCAAATTCTACCATAAAACGTCTGTCGTGGCATTAGATGATAACTGAGGTAACTATTACGCAAAATACAGCGTTGGGCGACTTTTGTGGGAATGGTGGGAAGTAATTATAAACAAAAGTAACTTGTTAATAGCCAAATAGAGCCACTAGTTCGTATACTGCGTCGCAATAGATGTGGTTGCCTAGTGCACTATCTGGCAACGCGTGGCGCGCCGCGTCAGCTTGTAGCTCGCACGCTCCAACGCACGATTGTCATTTTGAAGCAACGCATTTTATTTCAAATAAACCCATATAACGCACTTTTGAAATGTCAAAAATAGATTGCTGTGTCTATCAGTCGGTTAATTGAAGTTAGTTATTTGATCTTTACTCTTTTTATTATAATTGTTGCCTGGTGGTAAGATTCGTAAATTTAGATAATACAGAGAAACTAGAAAGAAATTGTAGTTTTCAAATAACGAATTAAGTATTTCTAAAAACGAATTAATAAATAAATTAAAACAAAAAAATGTAAAGCTGCATTTTTACACTGAAAGATCCATCTATCCATTGAGCAATCAAAAGCGTTGCTAACTGAACAGGACGCGTTACCAAGGGCAAAGCGCGTTGCTACGGACCCGCGTTTCCTCTGATCCCTTGAACACACCCTTCGTTTTATACCCCAACACAACCGGTCAGCCTCGCGAGGGACACCACGCCCCTACACACAGAGCATAATGCTATTTTATTGGAAGATACTTTTAATAATGCGTTATATCACTGCAACAGCAGTTGCCATTTATAAAATGTAGGTACTACAAATGTCGAGTTACTACGGGCCGGGCTACGGCGTAGGCGATTTCGCGAGCATCGATTCGCTACGGAATTGGCGAATTTATAAATGACACAGCCGTTAGTAATTACTGCTGTTGAATCGGATAGTAAAATACTATTGAAAGATAAATCGTATTTAATTCTTAAATAATAATTACATTTTGGATTGTTTATTGGTATTATAAATAGTATTGTAGGTAATTCATTACAAAGTGTCATGTAAATAAGATTTTATTGATTCGTCGAAAATCACAGACTTTTAACATGATTTTAAAAGGACAATTTGCATATGTATGTCCGGACATCCGGAGTTAGTGAAGTGAATCAGTTTATCAGTTCAACCAGTATCTGTACGCTTGTAGGCACATATCTCCTCAACAACTGCACCAAATTAGATAATACGTTTCTATTGTCGTGTTTGTTATTATCATGACAAGGACATTCGTATGAGGGAAAGAGACAGTTTGTAAAAAGAATTCGTTGGGACGGTCGAGGCAAAAACTCGTGCGAGGCGCGCTAAGCCGGGGCGGGTCGTAGGGATGTAGGTAACATCGTATTACAGACAAACCGAATGCCAAATGGACGCCAATAATTCTGGAATTTTTCACTTCATGATTTTATCGATGATATCTTCAATCTGTGATTAATATCGGAGTAAATCATCATCGCTGAGGGAGTCGACGTCACTCAGCTCGTTGAGGGAGGGGTCGCAGGCGAGGCAGCGCCCTCCCGCCTCCTGCCAGCACTCCGCACAGTACACAAACGGACATGTTGGCAGACTGCAGCGGTGCCATCGTCCTGGGATCCGATGACCTGATATAAATAACAAAATGGGTAGAGTCAATCAATCATAATATCTAGCCTACCCTAGGGACTTTAAGGTAAACAAATTATGTATACACGTCACACGGGGTTCGAAACCTAGATCATATACTTCAGTGACATCAGTTTTCAGAAAGTTCAACAACTGAATATATACCTACCTACTTACGTTTGTACGTAGTATTATTGTGTCATGCGAGGTTCCTTCGTATTCATCATCATCATTAACAGCCTATACCTAAAGGGCCACTGCTGAGCAAAACCTCTTCTAAAACAGAGAAGATTTCAACATTAATCACCACTCTTGCTCATTGCGGGTTGGCGATTTTAAATTTATTACTAGAAATTATAAGCCCAGGTTTCCGCACGATGTTTTCCTTCATCGATTGTCAGTGGTGTTTGAATAATCTTAGAAAGTACATATAACTCGGAAAAAGTCACATTGATACTTGCCGTTGGTCCGTTTCAAACTCGCACTCTCATGCATGAGAAGCAGGCGCATTAAACCTTAGGGCCACCACGACCACTTTCGTATTACCTAAGACCTAAGTCATATCGACAGACTAAGTGCTTGTCATACAGTGTCTCTGAATTCGACGATCAAATGGAACCGTGTAATCGGAAATGTTTCAACAGATATCACAAAACTATAAATAAAGTTTTAGGTTTGGTTTTTAAATTACAAGTATACTCTGAACCAGTCTTTTGACATTTCTTAATTTTTTCGTCTGGAATTTGAGCTGACTGCTTTAATTTGGAAAATAATGACGTTTTTTGACGAACCAACTATTCTTAATAAATTTTTCACCTTTAAGTGAATGTAGTGAAAAACAAATGTATTGGCAAATTTCACCAAAATTGTATTACAGATGAAAGTGCATGAAGTGTCAAATATTAAATCTCAATAGTTTTAAATAAATCTTGACCATTTCTCAATAAATTTAGACACTGAGTTAACATCGAGTCTGTTCGTCAGTAGTTACCGCCCACTAGGGGTCCCGAAACTAAAACTTGGACTACGTAATGAGTAGTAAACTAATATCGACGAAGTATGTGAAGGACAACCGGTACGGCTGCTTATATGCTTTCCGAAACTCGAAAGTGCATTGAGATACTTTGAACGAATCACCAAATTTTCATCAAGGAAATCGTACTGTCCTATCTGATTAGTTTCGTACTTTTTCTGTATTACTGACTGCCTCATTGGGTTCGATCCCCGGGTTGAGCAAAGTATTACTGGGTTTTTCAAAAAAATCACAAACGTAGCACGGAGTCTGAAGTTGTGCCCGGTATTTGGCAATAGGCTCACGCTCACCCCGTATTACATGGCACTCATAACATAAATAGTGAAAAGAGGGTGTTACATTGTACAGTGGCATAATGTACACCTCTGCCTATCGCTTCGGGGATAAAAGGCGTGATGTTATGTTATGTTTTTCTGTATTATGATTTATAAACGAGAAAGTTTAAGATTATGCATGCTTGCAGTTTAATCGCGCCAAGAGGTCTGAATAGGTAATTAATTAATAGTCCTAATTCCTAATGGATATTTTTACATAAGTAGATCTAAGATCACAAAGACAGGAACTGCATATAGATAACGGTCTCACACTCACCACTCCTAGGTTCTGTCTCTCCACATATGAGACAGGTCATCCTGGCAGCGGGTAGAGCATCCAACCAGCCCAGTAAGTAGGGGAACTTCATCCGCAAACTGAGGAGGTTTTCTCCAGAGAGGTAGTATGTTCGTACGGCTTGGACTGCTTTTCTATATGAAACGATGAGATGAGAAGAGAATAGATGTTTCTCGAGAAGAATTTGACATTTATTTATTTAACATAACATAACATCACGCCTATTTATCCCCGAAGGGGTAGGCAGAGGTGCACATTACGGCACTTAATGCCACTGTACAATGTAACACCCACTTTTCACTATTTATGTTACGAGTCCCATGTAATAGGGGGTGGGCCTATTGCCATAAACCGGGCACATTTCCAGACTCCGCGCTACTACTGAGATTTCTAAAAACCCAGTAATACTTTGCCCGACCCGGGAATCGAACCCGAGACCCCTTGCCCGGCAGTCGCATTTGCGACCACTCGGCCAACGAGGCAGTCTTATTTATTTAATCATACTCGTACCAAACAAACCGGCACCAACTAACCTAACAATACTTATTTAAAAACAAAAATAAGAAAAAACGCTACATCATTTACCAACATTAATTTTAAATTACATGTTATTATTGAAATGATCAAATCATATAAAAATACATATTATTTCACTTATAACATAGTATAAATAGTAATTCGCGAATTCACTAAAACAACATGTTAACACATCAATCCGTGCCTGAAGGTCGTTAAGGCATTGGCTGCCAATAAAAAACTATTGAAGGCAAATCCTCCGCTAATGTCGGTCACCAGTGACTGCCATGGCGTTTAACGTGTTAATAATACGGATAGCTCTAGTAAGATGTGACATGTAGCTAACGTATAATAATTTAATAATAATAAAAATGTTTAATACCTGCGCAATGTTTTATCCATTTTCATTCGTTTCTTAAGAATATCATTGTAGAGATGTAACACTCGCTGCCTCTCACGCATAGGATAAAAGTAACTGCAGATTAGTCTGTAATATTAATGGTGATATTGAGCACCTGAGACGGTACTCCTCGCAGGAACCAAGTGAAGGAAACCTAAAACCTAAGGGTAGTTTCCTAAATTTTATTTGAATGTACACCTGGTACATTAATTTAAAACTTTAGACACGTATTTTTTCTTTTCGTTAATTTGAAATATCGTGTCGTCACACAATAACATCCTCCCACTCCTAAACTTAGCGACATTATATCTAAGTATTGCAACTTAATACGAGAAAATAAAAAATACGTGTCTAATATTTTTTCATTATCTAACTGACGGACTAATTAGATTTTTAATTTTTATACCCTTGAAACTACCAAATTGTCTCTAATAAACTGAGAAGTAGAACTTCTAAATAATTAGTGAGCTTACCTCCTCAGCCTCAATGTATATGGGTTAATATACAGCAGAAACAGTATCCAGACGTATCCACCATAGATCTTTAAGAAGTATATGGGCGGCATGGCGCGCGGCTGTGGGACACACAGCTTGTTCGTCACCACTAGTCGACTGTCCCGAGTTGATGACAGATTGCTGATCAGTTTGCGGAGAAGATTCGCTAGGAGACCTGTACCTTCCACCTGAGAATATTTATGACAGTAAAATGTAGTTGGCAAACAATTATTATTTGAAATTTTTAACGCTACCGCCTTCAATAAGTTCTAGGCTAGCTTTCGCAGTCTATAGCTAGGGATTGAAATCAAATTAATTAATACAAATATCATTAAAGATGATAGACAGTACTGAAACGATTAGATATATTGTATAATTATGATGATGTGTGTAAATGTAGAGACTTCATATTCCGAATATATATTTCTTCAAAAGATTCGCAACTTTATCGTAGTAGATAATAAAATCGAAAATGTATTGAATAAATTGATGAGACAGATACTCTCAAACATTGTACGACTTGTACCTCTATTTTCAAATCCTGTGTTCCTTGATGAATGAACTCGAGGTGTGCATGTTGGCGCACCACGTCCAGAGCCTCATAGAACAGCCGGTCCAGCATCACGAACGTGGTGGCAGTCACTACTTCTAACATCACCTTCAAGATCTGCGTCACCAGCTTACTGTGCTGAGTCCTCACATACGACATGGAGTATATGTCCACATATTTACTTCGCTCCATCTGGAAAGTGTAGTTCTGGAATGATGCTATTTGTCCAAGTTGAGAACAAAATTATTAGCAATGTTCAGCAGGTCCACAGGAAGAAATTCCAATAGGAATAAGTGGTACCTTTGTACTTTAATTTTATAAATGTGTTGTCCTTTATGTTGTATGTGTGTATAAATAAATAAATGTTGCTGTGGTAAAAGTATAAATCGCATCAAAGAAATTAACGTATAATATAGTCAACTAGCTGTTCCCGCAACTTCGCCCGCGTAGAATAGTGATTCACAGCTCCTCCCCTGTAACTGATAGCGTTATAATATGTAGCCCATGTTCAACCGACCTGTTAGTATATTCATGCAAAATTTGAAGTAAATTCATAGAGTACTTTTTGACTTTAAGCCGGACATACATACAGACAAACAGACAAGAATTCTAGAAACCATATCTTTGGCTTCGATATCGATTGTAGATCATGCCTCAAGCATTCTTTTAAGACGATTTTATTTGGTGTATTTTTTTAAGGGGGGAATATCATCGAATGACTGCTCCCGCCTGGGTGAGGCGGGAGGGAGTGTCAGACTCTTACTGACTAAAAACCACCCCTTTCCTTCTCCTGCACGTCGAGCCGGAGCCCCGGTAACCCGTTAGGTTCTCCGCGATCGTTAGGTTCTATATAGATGACTGAAAACAACTTTTGAAACTCAAAAATAGAATTGAAATCTAATAGAGCAGAACAACACAGTTGAAATATTTGTTCACACAATTTTTTGACATATCTTCTGTTTCAGGCGAAAAAGGTGATATTACCTACATGTGACAAAAATGTTAGATAACTTATACAACATTATTTATAACTAGCTGTTATCTGCAACTTCGTCCGCGTAAAATATGAATTTTAGAACATATTTGTTTAAATTTTCCAAAATATAAGTAGCCTATGTTACTCCTTAGTACATCAGCTACCTGCCAATAAAAGTCTTGCAAAATCGGTCTAACCATTCCAGAGACTAGCCAGTACAAACAGACGAACAGACACATAAAATTAAAAAATATATATTTTGATATGTGTGTTGTATATTCATATGCATGTAGTAAAAAGTTATATAAATATTACAAACAGACGCTTCAATTTTATTTATCTGTATAGACTACATTTTTTACCTTAGCTTAGAATACAGCTTACTAACCTTTTTAAGCGGTAACAGTGTAATTTCATTCTTCCTTTTTCTCATCTCATCCAAGTATTTAAAATAACCCGTTATGTAGAGATTATCGAAGGTGATATTGGTGAGGTACATATCATGGTACGTTATGGCGGCTAACACTATCCTTAGGAATAGGATGGCCATACACACGTTCAGTGTGGTGATGACCACGCCCATGACTAAGTGCTTCTCTTCAAAGGAATGCAGGACACGGTCCCCAGTTTCTTTTGCATCCTGGAGTTAAGTTGAGGAATAATAGGTGCGTCTTATCTAAAAATCGCGTGTTACCTACACACGTAAATATACTGAGAAAAGCTCTACTAGTTTCGAGCCACAGAGGGGCTCTTCCTCATGAGCAGCGTGCGTTCGATAGTTATTACGAAAAAGCGGTGCTTATGTTTGGTTAAATTTTACTATCGTAATCAGGTGATTTTGTAAATTAGCTCTTTAGGACACAGGCATGTAGCACACAATTGAATGAACTAGGTGACGATATGGTGTTTCAGGTGTTTGAAACGTTTTATATTTACAAAATTGTAATTTAATAAAATGAATTAAAAAATGGATTCGATTTAGCTAAGCGTTACAAAAAAAAGGGATGTATTCAGTGCAGATTGGAATATCTGGATAAAGAAAATTCGTTTAACAATAAATCTGTAACTTATGAAAAACAAAAGATCTGGGGGCTTACTCTTTAATTCAATTCCGATCGATCGACATTGATATTGTGATATTTCGTACTCTTGAGTCGCAACACTAGCGCTCATTGCATCCGTATTGCGTGCATATTGAATGAACTAAATGGTATTGAGTTTGGCTTTCCGTACTGTGAATGCTAGTTGCTAGTGGCTAGTTTTGACATTGAATAATTATTGAGATTTTATCGGATTGGAATTGCATTGACATTGAAATTGGTTTTAAGAGTAAGTACCCTGATAGGCTATTCTATATGTCAATTCGAAACCCAAGAAGTGTCCGCTCGATCGCGGCCCGCCATTTGATTGGTTGTGAGAATAACCTCGAACAATGAGGGGCGATAATGTCATAATGGCGAGCACTTCGAGAGTTCGATTTGACTTCTTACAAATAAGCCTAGCTCTTAACGATTTTAAAACATTTTCCCACCTGTATATCATACAGCACGCGTTGAAAGGTAATTTTATATTTCAGGTTGACGTTATTCAATCCACCGGTCAACTCTCGCGTCGCTTCCTTTAGAGCTACGTAACCTTCTCCTAGGCCATGGTCCACCTGTAGGGACATACTGCAACATCACGCGTGTAATCTTATATCTTATACTATTATCTTAATATACTCTTATACTGTTATTACATAAAGCGGAAGAGTTTGTTTTTTTGTTTGAACGCGCTAATCTCCGTAAGTACAAGTCTGATTTGAATAATTCTTTTTGTGTTGGATAGCGCATTTCTATGTCCAGGTCGTAGCATAAAACTTCACGCTACGACCAATAAGAGCTGAGTAGAGCCTGTGAAACCGCGCGGAAGTAGCTAGTACACAATATGTCGAAATTGTTCATAGGTATCTCTAGTTCGCAATAGGGTAGGTGGCTAATTTTTATTTGATTGTTTGTCCGTCTGATAGTTTATTTAAAATTATCAGCCACATATTTTTTATTTTCTTACGGACACAGATACTTTTGACGATATATTGATTTGAAATATCGGGTGACGTTACTTTTGTATACGTTTTAAGTATACTAATAAGCGACGTAGTTAGCTCCCACTCCTGAACTTGGTTTCCTTTTATTTGAGTATTGTTTTGTTACACGACAAAATAAAAAAATACGTGTCTAATATTTTTTCCTTCCCTAACTGGCGGACTAATTAGATTTTTAGTTTTCATACCGTGTCATCATCCCTAATTTGCAGATATATAAGTTATTGAAATCTGCCGATATACTGAGCAAAGTCCTAATTTGGTTTACAAATAGCTAATTTATTTCCTGGATATAGCGCCCAGACCCCTATGTTCAGTAGTTGAGTTGACGTGTTTGTGGCTAACGGAGTAAACTTGATTCTGTCTCCAGAAATAAATTAAGGAACCTTTCACTCACCTGTTCCCTGCTATCACAAGTATCGCCCTGTTGGAGTAAGCTTAAGAAATTGCAGGCGTATTTAAATCTCAGAGGCCAACACAACAGCCAGGCGTCGACGTGGCGCACTTTATCACAACACGTATTGTAAGCCAAGGAAAATGCTTCAATACAAACTTTTTTAGCTTCTGTTAACTCATATTCGCATCTATATTCCAACTTCTTTTCGTATAGTTTTTGAAAATGATCCTCTAACCCTTTTTCTGGGATATTTCTAAAATACACAAATATTCTATGTTAACGGATTAGAGATTACTGCTCACTAAATAAAATGTTAGTAAAAGACGTCCAGGAAAATCGAGACATCGAGAAATCGTAAAGTACCGAAATTAATCAATTCTTATTATTACTAGAAGTTACGCTTACTCATATTGTTGGTACCTTTAGTAAGATTGAATATTTGAATTGTAGTATTAAGTAGCTACCTAAATAATCCATAATACTAACAGATACTTGGTTTCAATCCCTGACGATCGCAATAACGTCTTGAAGAGAAGATCCAAGTTATCATTCTGTTCCTGCTTCCTTGCTACTTCTTCCACGTTCTCGATCTCAAGCTCTATAGGCGCCACTATATCACGCACAGATCTAGAACAAATATACTGATATACTTATTGCAAAAATATCTTATGCGATTAATTATCTTGGGTACTATGGGTCTGTGAGCCTCCTCTACATGAGAGGGTTTGTCAATATATCAACGGTTAGAGACCATTGCAGGTTTAGGTAAGTACCTATGTCAGAAAGCGCTATTGCTCAATCTCTGTCAAGTACATACATGGTCCCCTAGTTCACGAGAAGTCATACCGTCACCTTGATCTAGTAAGTTTTATTAAATAAATTTGAAAACAATGAACTCTACAAAGTACAAAAAGTTATTTCAATTATGTACAGAGAAAGAAATAAATATCTAGCTACGTGTCAAAGATTGATCATTAATCTAGTAGACAGATATAGAAGAAATAAGTCAGCTTCCCTATTATAGTGAATGCACCCATAGGCTCGCTTCAATTAGTTCGGATAAGTATTGAAATATTCGTGTGGGTCGCCCGAATGTCAGCTGTTAGTGGCTATTGTAAAAAAAAGGTTCGCCATCTATTGTAAATTGGGTGCTGTGCGCCCACATCTGCTTAGATACCCTTGTAGAAAAATATAAAATGGTGTCCATATATCTGTGTTATTTTAAGTTCCGGTGATAAGTCCCTATTTTTGTCCCTTTTTCTCCTTAGTACCGGAGTAAGTTGTTTGGTATCCCTATCCCTTTTTGCCCTGACTAACTCGCTTGATGATTCAAATTTGGTTTTGTTTGTAGATAGTAGTTAAAAACTCATTTATTAATAGGTATATACCTAATATACATTTGTTGCTAGGCGGAAAGTGCCGAATAAGAAGATAGGTAGGAATGTTATGTCACTTAAGTGGAAGGTATACCTTCTAGGTTTTTAAACTAGACAATTATTTAGCAAAAATCAATTAAACTGTCTAGCAAAAAGTTTTAGGTAAGTACTTTAGAAAGTTTTTAGAGAAACAGCATAATCATAATACCGTGTCGAGGACATAGTACAGTGTTATCGCATAACGAAAACGCATATACGCGTCGCGGACACCGAGTGTTGTGTGAATCTAAATAAAAAGTAGGTACTATTAGGATAGCTTATTACAATACAAACAGGTCTGTGTCATTTTTTCATATTATGAAACAGACTTAAAAAATTATGATAGAACAGAGTTGCATTGTATTGTAAAGACATATTCGCGTGGGTCGTGAGCACTGATTGTTAAAACTTGACAAAAAGTTTCTTATGTAAGGATTTGTAGTTCGTCCTGCGGGCGGTGAGCACGGGTAACTCGCCGCCCGAACCAGACCCGAGTGTAAGTAGCCTCAAGGAGCCATCAGACCGATGCCGATACAGAGCCGCGGGGTTGCCGGGGTTCCGGCTCGAAGTGTAGGAGTAGGAACAGGGTGGTTTTTAGTCAGTAAGAGTCTGACACTCCCTCTTGCCTCACCCGGGCGGGAGAAGTCATTGGATGATTTCCCCCCTTCAAAAAAAGGGTTTGTATTTCGTATAAATCAGATTCGTTCTAACAGACAGAAATGGCAAGAACGCACGTTGCACTGTGAAGACACATGCACGCACATAAGCGTCGCGGGCACTGAGAGTAGAGAAACTTGACAAAAGTACCAGAGTCGCATAATATAGCAAGAGGTGTTTGTGGTTCGTATAAAACAGACTTCGCTTTGTTCCAATATGGCATGAACGTTATGTGAAAACGCAAATACGCGTCGCTGGCACTGAGAGTAGAAACTAGAACAAGAAGAACTAGTGTCGCATAATAGAACAAGAGGTCTGTGTATATGAAAGTCTTCGTTCGAATTATACGAAAGCACGCACATACACGTCGCGGGCACTAGTAGTAGAAACTTGACAAAAAATTACCAAGGTAGCATAATATTAGCAAGAGATTAGTTCGTATAAAACTGAACTATTACAAAACGCAGAATTAGTGAGTTGGAAGCACACAATGTTGCGTACTGAAAACGCGAATACGCGTCGCGGGCGCCTAGTGACGAAAGAGCCAGAGTCGCATAATCATGTATGTGTCAAGTCAAGAGACGTTTATTTGTATGTCGTATAAAACTATATTAGAAAACGCATAATGTGATTTAGAGGCACACAGTGTTGCATCCTGAAAACGCGCATATGCGTCACAAGTAGAAACTATACAATAAGTAATAGGGCCGCATAATGTTGCTAGAGGTGACTGTTGTTTGTAGTAAAACAGAATGATATGAACAGGAGCGCACATATTTTAGAGTCAGGGGTATTCTATGGTCAATAACAGGGGCACAGCATGTTGACAGGTGAAAACGCATATACGCGTCGTGGGCGCCGAGTGTTGAAACTCGACAAGAAGTCCTAGGGTCGCACAATATAGCGAGAGGTAAATGTAGTTCGTAACTTAGAGAATGATAATGAGAAAAGATTTGTAGTTCGTATAAAACAAACATTCAAATGGCATGAACGCACATGTGAATGGGGCACAATTTGCAGTGTGAGGACGCATATACGCGTCGCGGGCACTGAGCGTAGAAACTTGATAAAAAGTACAAGGGTCGCATAATATAGCAAGAGGTGCGTGTAGTTCAAAATTTATAAAAAGTTTTAGTTCAAATAGCAGCGAGCCCAAACAACGTGAGTTTGGAGCACACCAGTGTTACAAAGTGAAAACGCTCATATGCGTCGCGGGCACTGAGAGTAGACACTTGACAAGAAGTACTAGGGTTGCATAATATGACAAGAGATGAGTATAGTTCGTATAGAACTTTCGTTCAAATGGCATGAACGCACATGCAAGTTGGCGGCGGCATACAATAGGAGTTGCACTGTGAAGACGCACATTTGTGTAGCAGGCGCTGATTGTTGGAAAAGTATCAGGGTCGCACACTAAAGCGAGAGGTCTGTATAGTTCGTATGAAAAATTCTTTCTTTGTTGAAATTGAATGGCATGAACGCGCATACGCGTCGCGAGCCCTTAGAGTAGGAATTCGACAAAAAGTACTAGAGTTGCATAACACAGCAAGAATTCTATGTAGTTCGTATAATAAATATTTGACAGCATCAATACCAATTTTCAGCAGAGAGCAAAGTCTAGTAAAGTTAGGATTTTCTATTTCACACATTTCAGAATTAGTCCAGTGTCGGAAATATTTGGTAATATTGACGAAAAGTAGTGTTAAATCTAATATTTTGTTATGTACTTATTAACTTCTCATGATAAAAAAATTGGTATTCTGTTCGGTTATGGTCAACAACTTTTATCAAAAGAATATAGGTATTATGCAAACCCTTGATACAGACAATAATACCGTTGAAGTAGTTGGCTAGTTACCGCTCAATGCCCCTAGCTGTCACATGCAGCTTTATTCAATTCAAGGCATTGTCAAACGCACGGACGCTCATATGAGAGCAGTGACGTTGGCTACTCGAAGGCTAGCCTTCTATACAGCCTAGATAACAACTGTTATGAAAAGTGCTAACAAAAATGAAGCTTATAATAAAGAAAATTCAATTTCGCTTTGTTTCTGGGAAAAAGGTAATTAGGTGGGTAGCTATGTAGTTGTAGGTACTACGTGTGTCGTTCTGGAAGTTTCTTGTACTTACTTATTTACGTCGTTTTGGGCTCATTCCAGGAAAACTAATTACACATTAGGTACGTCTATCATAAAACAATTATTTGTACGATTGTTTTTCTGAGATGAAATTACTAATGAAAAGATAAGATGAGAACTAGTTAGCTAGGCTAATTAAAGAAACTCTCCTCATGATGAGGCATATGAAGGTGATGTATTGTATACAAGCTGATCTTTTATGACTGAGTTACTAGTATGAGGACAAGGGACAAGGGCCACGTTTGTCTAATAATATTGCCATACTAATCAGTGCAATTCCTATATAGCATTATAGCGACATCGCTACGTTAACATTAACGTCGCTCAGTGAGTTCAAACCTAAGCGCATTCTTCATTTGGTCCATCTCATGCTGCAGGCTGAGCGCCGTCTTCTTGATTGGCTCTAGCATGAGGTTGTACCTCTCCTTGGACAGGTTGAACGAGAGCTGTGTGCTGCACGCGAAGACTCTCACCACTTCTCGAGCATTCAGACCCATGTTCGTGATAGGACCTATATAAACAAACGTTCTTCGGTCATCCTTCTAAACAATGTTTTAAAACAAGGTTTCTCTCAGCGACTATCTATACTTACCTAAGAACTGAGAAATTGAATAGATTTAATAAGAGCGATTTTAAATATTAGGTACACAGAGTGATTCTCGAGGAAGTTTTAAGTTTTAGTAGGTTAAGGTTTGAGTACCGCAGGCAAAGGCAACGGTGAAATAGTAGTAGTTCTATTTTCCACTTTACCTAAAGGTAGGTGAAGGTGCATGGAGGCTTACTTTCCCACATCCAGAATAATAGTTCTCTCTCTTCTCAGCCTTATAATGCTCAATGTACTTACGTAAATAACTACTTTTCGCTCTTTATTTGATTTATTGCAATAGAGGGTAAGTGTATTTATATACAGGGGTGCAAAATACATCCCTGATTTGGCAACCGAAATAATCAATAATAGTTTGCTCCATTGGTGATCGATAGTGAGACTACATTGCACTTGCGATCAATAGTATTGACAGTAAGTCGAAAAAGCCCCCGACGTAAACACGAGGGGTGTTATACATAACGTTTGCTGTGTGCGTATGTATGTGTCTGAACCTACTTATGTGTCCGCCATCGTAAGTCGTAGCTCACAAACGGATGAAGCCATTTTGAACAATTGTTTGTCCTTTAGATAGAATTAAATGTTAATGTTCGTGGCATTTCATATAAATGAACATTGAATCCTCTTCATCCCCGTCTATGCTTTGTTTCTTTGTGTTTTATGCATCATCATATTAGATTGATTGTTATCCAGCAATCCCTAAGTTTAAACTCTATTACAATATAGTTAAGGATGATTTTTCCCTCACCTGCCACTACGTAGGTCAAGACGACTGCCTTCAGCACTCCCCGGCCAGTTTTTCCAAAATACATGGGAAATATAAGCAGACATATACATCTTATTTGTATTGATATTGCGTTACCTATACCTGGAAGTAATACACACCAAGAGACACTTGAGATAGGAAAGTTATTACATGGGGCTAAATGGTCAAATTCTGGTCACAGACAGGTCTATAGTAAATCAATCTAATCTCTCTGGTCTTTATAAAATACTGTTATTAAACATAACTTGTCACATCCGCATGATATTCAACAGATGGTATTTAGTTTGATTTACATTATAGTATGTGGGTTTCTTTCTACGCCCTCGTTTTGTCAATTACATTATTATTATTATTCCCAATAGTCAGCAAACCTATTGATAAATACTGGGAACATTCCAGCATCCATTATTGCTGAGAAATTGAAAATACAATGGTTGGCGATACTTTACTGGACAAAAAAAACGAACCCGGCTCCGTGCTCGGAAGAATGGCTCAGCTATTAAGTTTTAAAATTCACAATAATAGTTGTGTGTCTGTGTGCATGTTGGGTTCGTACCCCACAGATGCCATTGGGCGTTTTTCTATGAGCGCGTCCGGTATCGGCACAAAAAATGGTGCGCCGGGTAGCGACGCGGCGCAAACCCATCTAAGTAACTATCGCCATAATGTATGTGCACGCAGAAGGTCCTGCCGTTTGACTAATGTACTTCTAAACGAGCTATGTTTTTCTGTAATATGTGTTTGCACTATTGATAACTACTGCACAGCCGTATATAGCCGAAAATGTTTGGCTCTATGACCGGGACATAACTGCAATGCTAAATCACAATGCTTGCAAACTTTACACTTATTACAGAAAAAAAATCTGTTTATAAAAACTTTTTATAGAACAGTTGAATTAAATATACCTACCAAGCAATACACTTATAACTAAAGACAAAATAAGTCCAACGGAGTTTGGGAACGGAATTCTTTTCAATAAATAGTAATAGTAAGCCTGTCCCAGACAGAAGCCACAAATAAAACTAGTGAGTCTCAGGCTATTCTTCTGATTGCACTCTGCGAAGAATGCTCTGTACAACGGCGGACAGATGTAACATAGACATTTTTCTAGAAATATGCGAAAACAACATAAAATCTGTTCTAGTATTGCCCCCAAGTTGCACATTTAGAAAATGTTTTTGTTCTAAGTTTATTTACTAACAATCATGACAGCTGCAATCAAAGCTCCTATTTGTTATCTGTAGAGATCAGAGAGTTTTCGAATAGACGTTGATACGTTGATGTACTATTCCAAGAAGTACAGCAAAGAAGTTTTAATTGAAAACCTACAAGATAGAGTATCCGTGTTATTTGCAATAATATCACGCTGGTTGGAAAGGCGTTCTAAAGGAAAATAGGAATTACAATAAATGTAGATCTACTTTCGGCTACACAGCCAATTTCCCAATTTTTTGCGCAACAAAAACGCATACATACTAAATTATGCGCAAATTGCGCAAAGGTTTGTATAGAGGTAGCGCAAACATATACAAACTATATTTGTGCATGCGTATCTATTCTAAGGAAATAATCATTGTAATAGGTACTCGCTAGCTATTTTTGGGAAGCTAGCTAACTTGCCTACAAATTCGCCTCGTGGTATTTGTTATGCATTAAACTTCTTCTCTTTGTTGTGTAGGTAGCAAAACCAGCTATACTTAAATGCGCAGAGGCCCCTGTTATTTCTATCCTTTTCTTGTGAAAAGGACAAAAACAGCAACCCAATACGGGCCTCTGCGTTGGTCGTTTGTGCGTGTAGCGTTTTTCTCAGGTAGGTGTGTAAAACTATAGTCTGCCATCCCTTAACTGTAAAAAAAATATGGCGCGACTCGAATTTGGCTGGTTTTTTATAACATCCGAAGGGTCTACTTTCCCTTTTCGTGTTGAATTGAGACACGTCAAACTTCAGCATTGTTTCAAGTTTTAAATGAATTCAGTTTAGTAAAGCACAATAAAACAATAACAAAATGTATAATCAAATTTATTATCGATCATTGTTTAGTATAATTAGTCTTATAAAATTCAATACGTCTTGTATAGAGAACCTAGGTATTTACTGAGATGTGACAAACGAAAATGCTTCACGCAAATAACAGCAGCATTTAAAATGCCAATTTACAATAAATTAACGAATTACTAAACCCGCGACTTACATCTATTAAACTTCAACACATTTTAACGAAATTTTGCTATTTAAATATGAGCCGAGCTGCTGCTTTGTGTATAAATATTCGTAAATGCTATATAAGGGTTCACCTTTGTTTATAATATCAACAGTATCTATCTTATTGCTTGTATGATTCGAGACAAAGATCGCCGAGCCGGCCGGCTGAGCACAAAATCACGATTGAGATTTAGTTTAATCCTTCTACTGATTGACTTTATGCGGCCTTTCGTCAAAGAATTACAACATTAAGATTTATAGGTATGAATAAAATTTTTGAAACTATTACCAAGTCTTTTATTTGACACCAAAAGCCAATAGAGTAGTATTCTTTAGATTGTATTTACTATCTACAGCTGAATTGAATGTATTTTATATACTCTAATAGAGGCCAAGGTAGGACAATGCATAGCGAAGTAGAATGAACTACTACTATGCTAGAAGATTTTTTTTTTTCATATTTATTTATCTCCAATTTAAATAGTCATAATCTTAAGCTATTATAACATGTTGCGCTATAATAATTTGCAAATTAAAGAACACGAATTGATTATAAAGATGGCATAAAATATTTTTGGGGCGTATATTTAATTTCAGACTAAGGTACAATAATTTTAGAACATAAAGTGAACCCAAATCTCTGTCTCTCTATACAGTAGGCGGCTAAGACATACACACTATTTAATTACACCTTGTCATAAATATTGCATAAATCTCATACTCCTATATTGTCACTCTGAAGGATAATTTCGATTCCAATATATCTCTGCTACACAGCCAATTTGCCAGTCTTTTGCGCAAACATACATGCTTGGTAATAATTTATGCGCATACTGCGCAAAGGTTTCGCCAAGTTAGGGCAAACATTTATAAATGATTAGATATTTACATATGTATTGTTTGCAATGTAAAACACATTTCATAATGCGCAAAACTTAGCGCAGATATAGTCAAATAAATGACATTTGCGCAAGTAATATTATTAGGTACATATTATACTTACAACAATTACAGACTAGTGCCAATGTTTGCGCATAGGAACTAAATACAATCAGTTATTATTTCCTACTTCATATCATCAGGTAGCAATATAGGAGTAAGGCATAACGGCTAAAGAAAGTTGTGCGAGTTGCAGAAGTTGTCGCAGAATAGTCAAGCGGGCTGGAACAAATGTAGGCTATGTAATATATGGAGATGTTACGCGAGGGCGATGGGAGGGTCTTCGTCGTCATGTTCCGTGATCATTGGCTCCGGTTTGTCGTCCACTTCGGGAACTTCTAGGATCTTAGGCCCGTAGAGCAGGAGGTATGCGCAGTGCCAGTCGCCTGTAATTACGTAGTAATGCTGACGTAAATGTAAAGTTATTATCATAAGATTATAGGCAAACCTATAGTAGATTTGCCTAGTTTCATTTCTGTCGGTGTACTCCAGACTACGTGAACGCATTGTAGGTATTATGCGCGAGGGGTTATTAACTTGATTTGTTTGACAGTGTCAATATTTTACATGGGCTGTCTGCCATCTGCTTGCTACAACCTTCTAAGAGCAAGGTTCCATTTGGGTGTTGTCCTGCGTTGTGTCGCGTCGTCGCAATGGTGTAATGGGCATGGAAAACGGCGCTGCGACGACGCAACGAAAAAATGGGGCCTCGCTCTAAGAGCCACATTTTTTGTTGAAACAGAATCAGTTATACAACAATCTATCTTGTTAAAGTACTAAGTAACATCATGAAGAATTGGACTTTATATTCACAACTTCAGAAGCGCCGGACTACTGCGACTTAAATGTTAGTGAGGATTATTCCAACATAATAGTATTGTGACATACCTCCTCCACTTAGCTTGAGCACCTCCTCCTCGGTGACGGGAGTGACGGCATCGTCATCACAGCGCAGCCAGGAGTCCCCGCGCGCGACCCAGGCCACGTAGTGTCCGGAGGACGACGAGCGCCCGCGGTGTGTCAGCACCGCTTGGAGGCGGTAGTAACCGCTGTTGTTGCTGCCTACGTCTGGAAGACAGATTGAGTTATGTTACTATTGAGGTTCAATAAAATTAAATTGACTGATTGTCTCTAATGAATGAGATGTATCGCTGGTAAATTTTAAAAATATGAAACTCTGGAAATTCAAACAAAGATGGACATTCTCGTAAAAAAATTCAACTAATATGCTATGTGGGAATAAAAAATGCGGTGTGCTGTTTAGGGCAACGTGTCACGACTTTCATTCCCGCAGCGTGATTCTTAAATAATTGTTCCGGAATTGCATGTTATGTGTATAACAATAATAATAATTTAAATATGTATCAGAGGGATTGCAAAACATACTTGTTGACGTGACAACGTCTTAAATTAGGTTGCGGCTGGGAGTCACTTATGAAAAAGTGTAACGCTCGGTAACGTTACGATGAGTCACCGAACGAGAGAGAGGCCCGCCGAATGCCTTGCGTCTCTCTACCACTCAACTATGATCGGTCTGCCGCGCGCGCAGCACTAGTTCATTCAATTCCTTGTTCCTATTGTGCAATTTAATTATATTCATATCAATAAATATTCTACCGAGAAAAAGACGTTGTCACGTAAAATCTTCGCCCGTAAAAACGACTTTACAGGCAACCATTTTTTTTTTTAAAGAGTAACGAATGGAGTTTTTTGCTCGTTCTTTTCTAAGTCAAAGTCAAAGCATTTATTTCAATTAAACCATAATTAGGTACTTTTGAAATGTCAACAAATATAAAATAAATAAAGGAGAAAATGATAGTGGCGAGTCATGATTAAGAATTAAAAACTGAAAATTACCATTAGGGAACCAATAGGGTACAGATCTCATCGGGTCTTTTTTCTTAATTTCCTTTGAACTATCGCCGTGGTTCTTCGAACTTAGAGACGACTCCACATTTGCGTCTTCGTATTCCTGAAAGAAATAAATACAAATATTTATACAAAGAGCAACGACGCGATAAGTCAGTTATCACGAGTTCAAGCCACAGCTCATATCATTGTTGTTTTTAAACTTATTTCGTTGTTTTATAATTATCACCTGTTGATCGAGTGGCCGTGGCCTCGTTGGCCGAGTAGTCGTAAGTGCGACTGCCGGGCAAGAGGTCTCGGGTTCGATTCCCGGGTCAGGCAAAGTATTAATGGGTTTTAAAAAAAATCTCAGTGGTAGCACGGAGTTTGGAATTGTGCCCGGTATATGGAAATAGTGAAATGTGGTTGTTACATTGTATAGTGGCATTAAGTGCCGTAATGTGCACCCATGCCTTCGGGAATATAAAGGCGTGATGTTATGTTATAATTATCACAAGAGATTAAAGCAACTGTAAAAGATTTTTATAAATAGAAGAAAAGAAGGCTTTTCTTTTGTCTACTATCTACACATAGTATTCTAACATAAAGCTAAAGAGTTACAAGAGTTTGTGTGTTGGAATGCGCCTATCTCAGAACTACTGGCTCGAATTGAATAATTATTTTTTAATTTGGATAGTTCATTCATCGAGGCGCCGAGTGACGGGAAGGGGCAGTGAAACCGCGCAAAGCCTTGTTCGCATTGCGCTAGTATTTTAGTCAAGTAGCGAGTTTTTAATAGTTCTCACTTGCTTCGATTTTGAGACAGAAGCGAGAGAAGGCTACTACTAGTCACTCGACTAAAATACAAGCGAACAAAGCATAAGAGTAGTTAGTAAATTACATAAGACTAAATTACCTTAAACTTGTTCCTCATAGGCATGAGTCTCTCCTGCAGCTCGGGTGAGCAGAGCTCGTACACGTCCAACTCCAGCGGGAACTTCACGTCCTTCAAGATCTTCGCGTTGATGGACTCCTTCTCCTTGTAGTAGAACCTCACGAATTGCACCGTTAAGTATGCTGGCAGACGACTGATTTTGCTCTGTAAACCGAAACATTTTTTTTATAATTTATTTTAGATACCATGCACACTTGATCAATTCAACTGTAACTATGTAATTATAATTTCTAAATCAAAGACCAATAACAACCATCAACAAAAAGTCGATAATTGTCTAAAAATACGTATAAAAAAGGTATAATGACTTACTGTTTTAGTGTAGATCGCATCCCTTCCTAAAGTTTGTGACAGTTTTGTGATTTGCTCGGACATTTTCTGTAAAAAATAAACAAAAAATTTATAGGAAAGTAGACTTTGTATCACTGTTTCTGCTTCCATTAAAAAAAACAAAAAGGAATCTATTTTATTAAAATACGAATTCTCTTTATATTTTCATTTTTATGAAAGATTGATTTCAATGTTTTACAAATCGATTGAAAACGAAAATTCAAATTAACATTAGTTGTTATGTTAAAATTATTGTTTTGTATAACTTACAGATCGGAGTCCTGACTGCAAATACTTGACATCCTGCGATATGAAGCAGGACAGTTGTAGAAAAGTCTCGTTGGAGCGGGTGGGAGGCTCCTCTGCCTCCGAGCACACCAACTCCACATCCAGAGTGCCACCGAAGTACTGCTCAATCACAGATGACCTGATGATGAAGATAAGAAAGATTTGACTTAAGTACATGCCGTTAAGATACGGACTGGTAATTTTCGTTGAAAATCATTTGCAGTGGGATATGAGAGAATGCAGACTAAGCTAATTAAAATGAAGTCATAAGTGTTTGCAGCCTAGAAGTTAACTTTTAGCTATTTCTTGTGAAAGTAAATTATGTTACAAGATTTAGCAAGGAAAATAACCTGTTAAAAACTTACCTATTTGCAGGAGCATTAGGTGCAGAAGGCAGTCTGGCTTGTAGCGCCCTGATGATCTCAGTCCAACATTCTGAAGCGTCCTGTTGCGCCAGGCCACCACCAGGCCCGCGCTCCGCGAAGCGTGGCGCAGTAGAGTGCAGGGCGCGGAGTAACTTGGCAGCTGCGCCTGCGCACGCCCCAGCTCCGCCCCCTTCTAACGCTGACATGGTGTCGCTCAACGCCGATGTCAATTCTCCCGCGGTTCCACCACCAGACGCTAAAAACAATGATTACATTTTATTACTACTTGTTTTAGCACGACTAAAACTTTGTACATGCATCGCGGTTTTTTCGTCTTTGACTGCTGACAGAAAACTGTTGAAGCCAAATCCTCCGCTAACGTAGGTCACCGGTGACCTACGCGGCGGTTAAGTGTTAAGAAATTTTAACAATTCTCTGCAGAACCATGTGCATAGAATATGAGCCTTTAGCATAGCTTGAAATTAGTCAACATCCTTATCAAATGGATACGTGATAAGCCGAAAAACATAATAATTAAATCCCCAAGGAATGACAGATACAAAGTTAAAATACTCTTTCGAGAACATTTGAGTAACTCTTCATTGTAGTATGTGTTATAAGTTTAAATAAAGTTACAAGAGTATTCTTCATAAACTTACACTTATCATAACTAAGTAAGGCATTCTTAAGTTCAGGTACTGTCTTCAGGCACTGTACTGTAGCGTTCATGTAGCATGTGTTGCCCAAGTTGATTAGACCTTCGGGCAAGTCCAACTGAAAAATAAAACATAATCATTATTACACAGAACATTGTTTAGATTACAAATCAATACATAGTATAAAACAAAGTCGCTTTCGCTGTATGTCCGTATGTATGCTTAGATCTTTAAAACTACTCAACGGATTTTGATGCGGTTTTTTTTAATAGATAGAGTGATTCTTAAGGAAGGTTTGTATGTATATACATATTGCACCCGTGCGAAGCCGGGGCGGGTCGCTAGTTCTGTATAAAATTAAATTTATGATTTAAAATGATATACCCATTTACTAACAATAGTATGGGACACGAGTATTGTTAATTCTGAAGAATGAAGAGCAAATTGTAGTTTCGATAAATGTCATTGCGACATGGTAACAATATTAAGAGCCATGACATTGACACAAAGGCAATCTAGTTCCACCATCTCTAATAAAAAAAATTATATTATAAGGCCCAACTTTGTATAAAATGATAAAAATGGGTAGTAGCTTGACAACAGAAGAAAAGTATAAAAATAAAAGATTCTCACAGCAGTAGCCAGCTCGGACTCATTCATGTCTTCTACGAAACGTGTTTGTTCCACCGGAGCAGATGGCACATCTTCCTCCTTGCTGCCCATTACCAGCACCAGAGCATTCTGGAAAATTAAAATTAAATTATACTTTTATTATATTTGAAAGATTTAATTTGACCATGTTGAGTCATATAAATAAAAGATAGAAAGTTTAATGGACTGTATAATGTAGTAAAAGGTCTAAAGCTACAAATAGTGCATCCACCAAGTTGAAGTTTACATGAAACTCAAGGTGATAACTGAAGTCAAAGTCAAAGCATTTATATCAAGTAGACCATAATTTGGTGCTTTGGACATGTCAACAAATACATAATTAAATAATAGTCTGTCAGTCAGTCCGTCAGTGAAGCTAGGTGAAGCTAGGTGCTCATTCCAAAATGTAGATTCGAATAGAGAAGAACGAGCAAGAAACTCCATTCGTTACTCTTTTTAAAAACGTATGACTGTACTGAATATGAACTTATCATTTAATTTTTTAGAATCACATGGTAAGTACATACATATTTATAATTCTTTTATTTTCACAATGCCCTACACATACATAATGCTGATATTTACACAACCAGAAATTTACTTAAACTGTCAAACACCAAGCGGTCACCGGTGACCGCAACCTATTGTTCTATAATTGTGTCTACAAAACCGGTACTCGACGAGTTAATATACAAGGTGAGTACTTTAATTTGTGATTTCAAATGTTGCTATACAACATTTCCCTTATTTATTTTCAGCCCGGTCGTTCTGCTGCAGGGAACAGGCCTCCCTACCCTCCTTCCACTCGTCTCTTCTTATAGCTGTCTAAACATTTCACTTATAACTTTTAAAATAAAATCATGTAAACCAAATGCACAATACAACTTACATTAGACAACTTGAAGTTGGCCCAGGAATCGTCTCTAAGAGTGACTCCTTTGCACACAACCTTCTGTCTCTCAGGCTGCACTCCAGTGAGGGCAAAGATCTGAGCCTTGAACACCACAGGGTCATCATCTGTGTTCACTTCCACTCCTGGGTACATCTCCTTGCCCCATTTTACCTTTACTGTAAATAAAAATTACCATGACATTGGTAGACATAGTTTTAATCATAAATAGAGAGGTGACATTCTTAACCTTATTTATTAACTGTACTGTTTTGTTAACTGTCAGGAATGTAGATTTAGTTTGCACATAATATGCTTAGTAGATAATAAAGTGACGGAATAAAACTCCGCTGGTACAAATGTTAGCACTAAAATTGTAATGTGTTTATTTTTACATTTACATGAAAGATAAGTCTCTACTTTAAATTTTAGTGTTCGTTGTACACGAAATGTAGTTTCTAGAATTATTGTAAGGTATATAAAGTTTAATTAGGTTTTTTAAGCAAGAAAACATCATAATGCCGGGACTGTTTTACGGGCAAATAGGGGACGCGTCATGACAATGCATTTTTTAATACATCATTAAACCTTATCTTGTTATCGTAACGGGTCACATTATACGGTTTATGCATTATTAATTGATTTCAAGAGGCAAATTAACAAAAATAACATTAAAATGTATAAATGACAGTTGTACAGCTATAACCTCAATACTAAAACAATGATGTAGCAATTTCTGAAAGTAGCAAGTATTCAAGTTCCGTATTTACCTGAAACCTTAGGCATTCTGGATTAAGTTAACGTAACAATTAAACGTACAAAACAAATAGTTATTCACATTAACTTGCAAGAAACTGAAAGTCACGATTCGCATCCAAAATGATGACAAAATTGACGGATCTAAATCGAATGAGTTGACATGACACTATGACAGTCACAGAGTAAAAAGATAAAACGTTCCGTTATTCGCAGCGTTACATTCAGTTCTACGACATTTAATTTTTTGTCTTGTATTCAAATTAATATCAGTTGAAACTTGCATTTAAGTTTTAATTTTTTTGGAATAGTAGTCATCATCATTAGCCTATAAGTGTCCACCGATCAAAGGCTTCTTCTCACATGGAAAAGGTTTGGGCACGTGTTTGGGCATTAATCACCACGTTTCCCATAGGTGGATTTGACGATTTCAAACTCATGAGTAGGTACATTTAGCTTAATTTAGTTTTTTGTTTTGTTTAATAAATAAAATATTCTATAACTTCAAATAAAATATGTATATATTTTCTCTTTGTAAATTTTGCAATCCATTATCGAAATTGTTTATGCTTGAGCTCATAAAACTAAGGCCGTAATAAAAAATATTAATAACGCAAAATTAATGGTGTGGGCTTGTGGCTACAGAAACAGAATACTACATCGTATCATTCGTAGTCAGATTGCGAACACAAATATGTATGTAGGTACTTGAAACTATATGCGAACTTGGTCTACATTGGTATTCAACACATTGACACATGCAACACACAAACCCATAAAAGCCTATTTGATTGTACAAACAGGTGAGTAAAATTTTCTCGAAGGCTTTTTCTCATGTGATCGCGATCGCACGTCTCACTTCACGCGGGAGCTATTCGTTCGATGAACTTTCCACCGGCGCGGCGAAGGCTGCGCAAACGCCTCCAGGCGCGTCAAACGCACGCCAGTCTCCATACATATTCTTGGCGAGTTGGACGTTGGTACAATTTTTGTCGGCTTTCCGCGATTTTCTCACGACATCAGTTATTGTCCCTACTGGTACAGGTGCAACAGTGAAGTGATTGTAAAGTGTTTATCAACAGTGGATTGAAGTATTTCATGCAATTAATCTGAATGCGGAATGGTAATCGGACTTGTGAAGGAACATCGACTGCCGAAGCCTACTGTAAGTTTGCAAGCTTTTGTGGTTAGATTAAAGGCCAATAGGTTTGTTGCCGGTGGCTCCACAGGTGCGGAAAAGGTGGTGTTAACCGCTAATCGATGTTTAATGCACCTTTAGATGCTTTGTGTTGGGGATTATACTCCAATACATAATAACAATTAGGCCTTTTTAGACCTTCACGAGAATATTAATTTGTTCTTAATAATAATTAATTTACAAATTCAAGCCTCTACATTCACATTCTTGAGACGTTAAACAAACTCTCCTACTTCCATCACAAAGACGATAAAATTATTTACATATCGAATAAACATTAAGCATCTAATAAGACTAAGACCCGAGGCCGGAAAACAAAACATAATAAAGGCGGAATGAATCTCAAAATAACTGGTTTACAAACTTATCGGATATTAGGAGTACCAACAGAGAGGATGTCATAAAGAACACGGTCTTACTTTTTTATTTGATTATTTTTTCTTTGAACCTATCATAGATCTTATTGAATTGTATCTACACAATAAGCGCAATAGGCAAACGTGATTGAACGCCGAGCAAAATATTCGGGGTTAGATTAACATAACACAAAGTCACTTGTCCAAACACTTGAATCAACTCAAGTTTGCCTCCACATTAGCATGAGCGCTGTTTTGAATACAAAAAGCTTTGGGCAATCGTGGACGCGGATTCCTCGGGATGTTTTTGCTTTGGCGTGAGGAATTTATAATGCGGTACCCAGGACTTTACGTTTCATTTACCTGACGCTAATAGCCCGGCCGCCGTCCGCGCCTGCGCAGATGCCATAATGATAACATTTCGCTTTACTACTTACTTGTTCTCGTCGTGCTCAGCACTCCCCTGTACTTATGTTTTCCTTGTACTTGGAACTTGAACAACGATTTTGTAGAAACAAATTCAGGCTTAACAACTGTTGTAAAAATAGTTAAGACTAAACCATAAAATGCATCGTAAAATCTTGGTTCTTGCAAGAACATCAAGTACTTATATCTACCTCCTTCACTGTACCTGAGCAGTTTCTAATTTTGACCTAGGTATGATCGGTCTAAAGTGGATAAGCCAATATCAAAAGTCCCAAAAAGTAAGTCATTGAAATACTAAATCAAAATATGACGCAATAATTTAATTGCGGACTGTTTTTCACAGAACGAACATAAGTCAAATAATAAAAAGAAGATCTGTTGAATGAATCGCCGTTGAAGGCACTAAATAGGTTCCACGAAAAAGTTTGGAGCCTAACATAAAAAGCTAAAGAATGATTAATTACGTGGTGAGCCCGCAATCCGAGGTTTTTCTTATCAATAGACACTTTCACTTGCGTTTTAGTAGAAACGTTTAAACGTATTGTTTTGACTGTTTTGTAACAGCAATTAAAGATGAACTATTCACGTGGAAAATGAAACTAGGTACCTACTTACAGAGTTCTTTTATTTTTCTTTTTCCTTTGTATATTTTGTAAACGCGAATGACCTGAATTATGGGCATTAGAATATATCGGTCTGGGTGTGACTTTTGTGTATTTGTAAGTCAACAAAAGGACAAACAACAACAACAATCTTAGTATAGAGTCACTTTATTTCTTTTATTTTTAATAGAATTAAATATAGGTACAATGTTATACTATTTTGAATTATGAAAAGAGTAACTAATTAATGATGTTATTAAGAAGTTAACATCGAAGGACAATCTATCATGAATTGACCAGTCGACCGTCATTTGTTTCCTTTGACCATCGAATTAAATGAACCAGTTTTTAGTATTGACTGTAAATAAATACTTACATTATCGAATATAGTTTTTAAACTAACCGAGAAGGCTCTGAGGCCTTAGTACGAGTTTCATTTACGTTTAAAGTATTCGAAACGAGTACGCGTTCGGCACTCTGATTGGCCGGCACCAAAGAACCAACCAATCAGAGCGCCGAACGCGTACTCGTTACGATTACGATTACTTTATACATAAATGAAACTCGTACTAAGGCCTCTGAATCGAATGAATTCTCGGGTTCAATTCCCGGAGCAGCAATTTTAAAGTTTTCGTTTTAAAAAGTTCAGTTTGCTAAAGTATAAATTCAGCCAAACAAGTCAAATACAAGCGTGATATTATAATAAGTTTTATTATAATTGCCGTTTTTAAATTAATTTGACACTTAGTTAGGTTATCTATAAATAAATATAGTCAATTAATGCATGGATTTTATCTATCGTAGGTACAAATATGGAGAGCTTATCACCATTCGCGGGAAATTACATAATACATATAAGGTAAAGCTAATCATACTTAAACGATCGAAACATGGCACCCAATTAGACACTTGCCCTACTAATATTATAAATGTGTATGTTTGTAGGTATGTTTGTATGTTTGTTTGTTTGTTGCTCTTCCACGTCAAAATGGCTGAAGGGATTGAGATGAAATTTGGAACAAGGGTAGATTATGGTGTGGAGTAACGTATGGACCACTTTTTAACCTACGAGAACGCGGGTGAAGCCGATAGCAGAAGCAAGTGTACTATAAAGGCTGTCTCTTTATATGACATACAATCCCCGAAGAGGAAGGCAGAGGTCTTACAGGTGTTCAGAGACCTTTGTACGAGTTTGATTTACGTTTAAAGTATTCGAAGCGAGTATGCCTTCGTCACTCTGATTGGCCGGTACCAATGAAGCAACCAATCACAGCGCCGAACGCGTCATACTAAGGCTTCAGGACAGAGATACCACAAAAAGTCACTTTTCGCTAGATATTATCATATGCACTTCTGACTCTGCCTGCCGCTTTGGGGATTTAAATTAGGGACGTTATTTTATTGAGTAAATAATTTAATTTTCAACATAGTACACGATGCACATATAGATATAGGATAGGTTGTATGCTTGAGGATATGGAAGGAAAGAATTTGTGATAGGATAACTTTCGGTACTTATACTAATTTAAGCGGATTCTTCCGATCCCCTGAAATCTTTTGATAAAGGCTAAAGAATTACACATTTATTATCTACGCTATATCGTACCATTATGCTTGAGGCAATGGCGTCCGCGCAAACTAGACCAACAATCCAATCGTGTTGTTGCATTTTTTGTGTTTCCTAATCATCAAATTATCAATTAGGTTATTGCCGTTGCTCGTTTCTATACATTTACCACCTCCTCATTGTAACCAATGACTAAGATATCCAATTAACTTCACATATAAGGTTACTTATTATCAACTGTTTATAACCAGTAACCACAGACCAATTAACCTCGTGGTTTTAATATGAGGGTGCGGGTTCGAAAGTTATCAACACCAAGTACCCATGTGACTATTTCCGACTAATATGTACTTTCTAAGATTATTTAGACACTACTGACATACTGTGAACGAAAACATCGTGAGGAAACCTAAGCTATAATTTCTAATTATATTAGTTTTACACGCACTGAACAAGCGTGGTGATTAATGCTCAAACGTTCTCCATGTGAGAAGAGGCTTTGCTCAGCAGGGGGTACTTGTAGGCTGTTGATGTTGTTATGCTTAAGATGCTGTGACGACACATATTACATGTCAACGGATGACGTCACAAAAATCCTACATCGCACATGCAAAGTCTACATGCAAATTAACACGGATAGAAAATTCCAAGAACAACTGTCGGGCAGAAAGCCCGCCAGACACGAATAATAATTTCATGCTTTGTATTAAAGTAGGTAGGCTTTGGTTGGGATCAACGATAAGGGCGAGATAAACGCTTGATTTAAATTTCAAAATATCTTTATCAATCTCTCTTTCAAATCTGCTCGTGGGTCCCAATTATTCTTAAATGGAAGTTTGTCCACCATAAAACTAATCAACTAAAGTATTTTAATACAATACTGCGATAAATATGGCCTCAGGTAAAATTAGTCAATCAATAAGATAACTGTTAAGTAATTATGCTAGCTTACAGCAATTTCTACCAATAGTTTTAATAGATATTTATTAAGTAAACCTAATTTTTAATAATTACGCTTACAAATTGATAACGACTCAAGAACACGCCATAAATATTATTTAAAAAGAAGAAATAAATATTAAAATATCAAGTACAAAAAATGAATACAGTAGGTATTTTTCCGTGCGAATACAACTTGCATGAATACGTCATTTGAAATAAAAACTCGAATATATAAAGTAGGTTGATTTAATTTATTGTTATTAGTTATGTTAGGTGTAGGTAAATAATCGTTTAAATGGTTACATAATAATGAATGTTCGGCCTACATAGCATTCCTCACGTCGAGCCGCTTTACATGCATAAATAATTCTTCATCTATTTTTTATTTAAAATTTTCCATTGATCCAAACTGGAATTCATTCAAATGTGTTGTCAAAAATAAAAACCAATTTTTTGATAATCTACTTGGAGCGAAAGACTAGGAACTATAGAAATTTTACCCTGGTGGTCACCATCGGCACCTGTATAGAAGATCGGGTCCTCAAAATATGTAGACAAGCTCCAGAGACCACCCCGCCCAATATAGTATTTTACTTGCACCTGCTGTACAAAGTGTACATTAAGAATTAAAGATTGCGATTAAACCGAATCACCGACCGAACCCAGTGTTTTCATTTACGTTTTCCTTTTTATTATCAACATCTAATTTAATAATATCTCACGGCTCTGAACACTTTTTAATAGCCATTGAAACTATAAAAGCGTTTGTCTAACGATCTTCATAAAATTCATTGACACCGCAGGCTTTCTAGAGAAGACCTTGTTTTTCAATTATGGCTTCATTGCGACTAGTACATATATATATATAAACAAAATATAAAAATCGGAAGCTGCGTGACGTCGCCGCGACCGCGCACTCTGCTCATGAGGAAGAACCCCTCTATGGTTCGAAACTAGTAGAGCTTTTCTCAGTATATTCACGAGAGTAACCAGCGTTTTTACTTAATTTAACTTAAGTTATATTTTTTTTTATATTTAAGTTATATCCGAGAATTTTCAACGATCGATACCTAAGCTTAAAAGTACTTCAAGTTTTATAACGGTGACTGCTAAGCCAGAGGTCTCGGATTCAATTTTCGAGCTGAGCAAAGTATTACTTGGATTTTTTTTTCAGCACGGCAACTGCAGTTATGTTTGCTCGGTACTAGTTACTATACCATCAATGAAACACACAATCACACTAATATTATTAATGTTGTCTGTCAATTACGCGCAAACTACTCAACGGATTTGATGAAATTTGGTATACAGGCAGGGTATACGGGCTGACTTAGGTGATGGGATGATAGGATCCTTTATATCCCGATCAAATGCTCCCATGGAATAAAACAGGAATCATATCCTACGCAGAAGAAATCACTGCTAACAGCTTACTAGCTGAACGACGTATCGTACTGCTAAATTATCTATTTGTTGATTACAATCTCGCGAACTTTCGCTCATAAATCATGAGTATAAGTAACAAATCGTTGCTCGTCTCTAGTTAATAAATAGCTTGATTTATAGCAGCGAGGAAACATCACGTAACGCAGTAATTAATAATATTAGTAAGAACATAGGAAATATCTGATTTATCATTGTAATACATAACATCACACTTCTACTTATTCAGAGGGCAAAGTAATCGAAACGAGACTGCGTTCGCCACCCTGATTGGTTGGTTCACTGGAGCCAGCCAATCAGAGCGCCGAATGAGGTCTCTGTTACTTTTAACGTAAAACAAGTTCATACTAAGGCCTCAGAGAGCATCAGTAAACATGCATCTTAATAAAAACTGATGTTGTTGTATCTTTTCGTTTAAACTTGAACAAATAAAGCCATAATTTATTTTTTAACATTTTATAATCAAATATTTAGCTGTTTAAGTACTTGCTCGTTTTTGCTGACGACTGTTTAAGTACTTAGGTACTCGTTCGTCTGCTCACGACAAAATATCTTAAATTTCAGACTAGCGTCTGTTCTGTCCGTCGTTCTTGGTATAAAATCATGAACATAATTTTTATTATCTAGATTACCTATAAGTTTATTATAATTCTAGGTGTTTTTTATTCAGCATTTTTCAATTATACTTCTTGTATTGATATAAAAAGGCTCCCAAAATGTAAAAGAAGTGTAGAGGATCACACAATAGTGAGTACAAATTCGGCAGTGGCTACTGGGTCGTCGTCCAGAGGCGTCACGGTTCACGCTTTGTGCCTCCGACTCCTTAACTAATTATATCATATTCGTATAACATCGTACTGTTACTTGAAATCCAAAAAAATAAGTTTACGTTTCAAATTCAATGTGCAGTACAAAAGACATCAACGCGCGCATTAATCACAAAAACGCTCGATTGAATTATTTTTATAGTTTTTTGAGTTGAGCAAATAAATAAAATTCCAAAACGAAGCAATCATCGAGGCCGTACACTATCGTTAAAATGTCGTTAAATAACATTAATAGCTTTTTCAAATTAAGATGTTAAAATAATGAATTATATAAATCTTAACATTAAAAAAGTGTAATCTGATTTAATATTTAAATAACTCGACATGGTCTAAATAAACAAAAAAAAACTCAAAAAATTCTTTTCCTCCTCGTAAATATATCGGAGATGACAATCTTTACATAATAGTGACATTACGACGGCATCATGATGATGAACGAGCGAGGGTCACAGTTTTATCATTTTTCATGAACATAAACAAGACAAATTACTTGCACCACGTAATCTACGGACATGTTCACATGCCATTTACTACATTACAACGTTAAAAATGTAAAGTCATGATTGTGACATTTCGTAACATGATATAATGTTACTATTCATTAACAATGTTACATCATGTTACATGTTACAATGGGTAACATGATTAAATCTTTGCAGCGTAAAAATTAATGTTATGTAAAATACGGAAATGCGGAACGGAAGCGTCTATAGGCATCAATTTGATGATTTATGGTGACTTCTCGGTGTTGTTAAAGTAAAAGTGGGTTACCATGGTTACCGCGGTTAAACCAAGAAGGGCCGGTCACACAGTAAACTGGAGTAAACTTTCAATTAATTCGGAAGTGGTTTATCGATTTAATTAACGGTTAAATGTATAACATCGTGAATTTAATTAAAGTTAATGATTTGATGCTGTAAACGGTTTCTGCATTTAAATCTTGTTATGGAGGCCATTTTTATATATTTTGTGTTTAATTATTTTGATATTTTAATGAGTTTTATTTTATATCTGGATTCAATCGAAATGTGATGCAGATTTTGGATATATTTATATTTTATGAGATATACGTTCACTTAT